AATTGGATCAGTAGATAGTGAGATATTCTTAAATTACTATTATTATTCAAATTTAAGAGCGTAAACTTTTGTAATATTACGTTTTTAGTGTAATATTTCAAAATTTTACACCACCTTCGAAATATTAGTTATATTACACTAAATTACGCCTAAGGGGCGTGCCAGGAATCAGCTGATTTAAGAGGGGGTGGGTAGGGTGTCCAGGATTTGACGATCATGATTTTATAGCGATTTTGGCCAAAATTTTGCGATTTTTGCGATACCGCGATTTTGGCCAAAATTTTGCGATTTTCGCGATACTCAAATATGATTGGCTATTTAGACACTATAAGTCACGTGAAATCGTGAATGTATCGCCGATAATAAACATTGATAATCTCTTTTTTTTCGCTTAGTCATTTTTAATAAAATGGTCGCGCCTCACATACGTTTGTCTCAAAGTGCCGAGTATCGTGAAAACTATATCGTACAAGAAAACAAACTATGGTGTCGATTTTGCAATGTAGAAATTGATCATGAAAGAAAGAACTCTGTAGATAAACATATTAAAACATTAAAACACCTTAATAATAAAAACAAGAATAATTCTAATTTGTTAATCCAAAGAACTTTACCTTCTTTTGAAAATACACTAAATGAACGAGAAAAAATTAATAAAGAGATAGTAAAAGCATTTACTTATGCAGACATTCCTTTGGAAAAAATTGAGAAATTAAAACCATTTTTATTAAATCATTGTAAAAATGGTATGTATTTTCTGATATTTCAATTTCAAATTTGCCTTTTTTATTTTTATTTATTAATATATTTTTGTTTATAGAGGGCTTAATTACTGGAGCAAATCAACTTCGTGAGAAATATCTTCCATTATCATATGAAATAGCGCTCCAAAAATTGAAAAATGATGTCATCAATAAAATTATTTGTTTGACAATTGATGAAACAACAGATCGTTGTGGCCGGCATGCAGTTAATATATTATTTAGTTTTGATAATAAAACTAAATTAGCTAAAACAGAATTTTTGTCTAATGTTAACGCTTCATCTATTTCACAATTTGTTATGAATACAATTCATTTTTATAATATTTCTTATAAAAATATTATTTTTTTTATTTCTGATAACGCTTCATACATGAAATTGGCGTATTCAAATTTATCTACCTTTTTACCAAATTTAAAACACAATTGTTGCTTAGCGCATATCCTTAATTTAATTGGTGAAGCATGGGTAAACTTTCAAAAGTTTGAATTGGTTGACAAATTAATTATAAATTTTAAATCGATATTTACTTATAATTCACAAAGAAAAATTAGATGGAAGGAGCATTTATTACAAAATGGTATTGAATCACCTACTTTAGCACCCCTACCAGTAAAAACAAGGTGGAATTCATGGTTTTTATTTTTATGTTGGATTAAACCTTTATATTCTCATTTAATAACTTTTGTTACTGCAGAATATTCTATTAATCATGATTCAAAAGCTGTTCGAGATCTTTACACATTTTGTCAAAACAGAAGCCATGTTTTTTGTGTTAAAATATTTATATATTTTATTACATATAATAGCAAAAGGTAAGTGAATTTAATGGATTTAATAATTTTATAATAATATTACTAATATAATACTTTATTTATTTAGATTAATCAATGATTTGGAATTCTTTAAAATAAGAAACAAGGCTATAGCTCCATTTGTTTATTCACGAATAGTATCTCTTCAAGCTTTTTTATCATCAGGAACCAGGAATCCTCCAATTTCAAATGAAATATTCCAATTATTAAACGAAGAAAATCAAGATATTGCATCTTTTGTTTCATTATTTTCTAGAGCTTTTATATTGGCAAATGAAAAATGTGAGAAACATATATCTCATCATCCAGCTTTATTATTTTTCAAAGCAATACAATGTTTTGATCCAAGATTTATTCAATCTAATTCATCTAATCATAATATGGAAAATTATAGAATTATCAAAGAATTTTATCTTCCTACTGATACTTTAATACAAGAATGGGCTATTTACTGTGGACTTAATGAATCTATTGAAGAGTTTGATGATTTGGATTTGTATTGGCGAGGTAAAAGACATATATTACCAGAACTTAGTTCACTGGCTTTAATATATATATGGTTGCCAGTATCTGGTGTAGATNCTAGTTATAAAAGCATTTTATCAGATAGAAGAGTAGCGCTTAAAGAAGAAAATATTCAAATGCTTAATTTTCTTTATTTTAATCTTAGTAATAATGATGATTATAATAATGAATTGATGATTTATGAATAATATAAATGTATAAATTTATTACTTAATTGTAAATAAATAAATAAAATTTGTATAGAATATAAATTATTAAAAAGTTTTTCATAATCGGAATTATGTTAATTCTGGCCAGAATTATGGTAATTCTGGCTGAAATTATGGATCACGATTTTCATGATTTTTGTGATTTTTCACGCCTGATTTTTGGGCCATCACGACGTCAAATCCTGGACACCCTAGGGGTAGGGGTTAAGCTATAAATCAGGTCCATATATATCACGTGATAAGTATTTGTAATTTTATTGGCTAATTATTTATTAGTAAAATTGAATATGGAATATGGTAAATCCGTAAAATGTAACACTGAGTTTTTATGTAACGTATTTATGTATCACTAATGTCTAAAAATAAATAAAGTTTAAAACACCATAAAAAATGTTTAAAAAAAGTAATTTAACGTTCATTTATTTATTAATTATAAAAGAAAAAAATAAAAAGAAAGAAAACACTAATTTAACTAGTCTTCATCTGACTGAACTTCGCGATAATCCAAAATAACTTTCTGCCATGAGTCTTGTCCTTGGATTATATCTTCTGCAACATTAAAATTTCGAAACGGAATAACTACACATTCCAATTCTGTTTTGTTATGAGTTCTTTTTAATTGCTTGTTATTTTGAGAGTGACGTTTAGAATGTACGTTGCGTTTATGTTCCTTCATAAATTTTAGAGTTGGAAAGTATTTACCGCAAATATTACAACACAGCCGCTGGTGTAGTTCTTGTGAAATTGAAGGACAACAACGGTCATATGGTAAGATTTTAAGCTTATCATAATATTGAAGGGCGTGAATTGGATTAATGAAATGACCGTCTTTTTCTTTTGTAATCGGAGGAAGGAATCCGTCATTTTCATCCAAAAGTAACATTGCATCTGTGGCTCTATTTTCACTACAACATTCCCGATTTTTACATTTTTTTATATCTAGTGAATAGCGGCAAATTTGTGCATGGTTCTCTATCCATTCCCATGATGTTGAAGAATCAAACTCATTAAATGGAATTATTTCCTTGTCAATATATTCCACTATTGCGGGCTTTCCATGTATGTCATCTCTTCTCCATATATCACATAATCTTTTTCCCAAAAACTCAAAATTTCGTCGTGCTAATTCTTTATCTATTACATTACCTTGACTATCTAGATGTGAACCGAACTCATTTACAGGTAAAGTGATACTGGCAAGTTTTGCAGATAAAGAAGCCATACCCCGTTCTACTGGATTATATGCACTTTGACCTGGAGCATGAGTACAAACTGTTAAATAATCCAAATTAAGAGCGCGAAAAAGGTGAGCATATTGAATAATATTTTTCATATGCTTTGGATTTTCGTCAGGTCCACCATCAACAAGAAGGATCCAAATAGGTTTAACTTCATCATCTTTTTTTATGATAGTGAAAAATTCTTCATTAGAAACAATGCTTTCTAAATCCGCTATATGGGTTTCTGATGATGTTCCAATAAAATATTCTGGTCTAATGAATATGGAAAGTTTACCAGTTCGAAGAGTATTACTTGAATCAGTTGGATCAATAGTTAGATAAACAGAAGGTATGAGTTTCATTTTTGAACCAACTGGAAAATCATGATCTTCAATAATTACTGGTTCGTTAACAGTTTGAACTGTCTTAAATGTACGGCCAACTGCAGGTGTTCCTAATCCCACCTTTGCCTTATTATCTTGGGAAATAATAACTGCTTCATTCGCAAAAACTTCAGCAAACATTTTTGCAGCTTTAACAGAAGCTAAACAATAGTGTTCATCAACATGAGATTTCATTTCTGTTCGTGCTACAGATGCGAGACTAACTTTTGCTGGATGATGATGACGACGCGCTGCAAAAGTATTTTGATGGTGGGGTTGGAGATAAGTAGACAAGCATTGACGAGATAGATAGGTATTATATTTTTCTTCTAAGGCTTCGCGTAGATGCTTTACCGTTCTTACTTTAATAATTACTTTTCTACATTTAGCATGAGCAGCTCCAAATTCAATACTATCATAAATCTTATCCCATAGATCTGGGTCTTTCATAGCTGCAGATGGTCTTCCTGGAGTATCATATTTTTCTACAACTCCTTCTTCTTCTAGCAACTTTAATTTTTTCGTTGTTAACTTTGCTTGTGCACCAGCATGACGTTTTAATTTATTTAGTTGAGCCCTTTGTTCTGATAATATTTTTTGTTCATCAATTATTTTTGATAATAGTGTAACTTTTATTAAGTCATCTGTAGAAATTTCCATCATTTGTTCATATTCAGATATCTTTTTAATAGCTAAATTGATTTTTTCAGCTGCATTACGTTATGATGTAGCATTTTTTGGTATTTTGGTAGTATCAATAAATCCAACTAATTGTCTTGGAGTAGAGGTATATTTTGGAGTGGAGGTATGATAAAAACTACTAGTCACATTACATGACAAAAAAATTTTTTGATGAGAATGAACAGTAGAAGGTACAGTATCATAATATTCACAAATTTTATTTTCAATAAAAGTGGTGTCATTTTTTCTAACTTCTTTCCAAACAGTTGTACACTCTTCCATTAGTTGCTGGCGATTTAACTTTGGATTACAGAGTGTTGCTTGTTTGTAATATGCATACGCGTTGCAAACCTCTTGATATTTATTTTGAGGTTGTTTAAAAAAAAATTTTTTATTAAAATTCGGACCTTTCAAAAAACTTTGCATGATTTTATAGAATATAAAACAAGCAGTTTATTTAAATTTTGATTAAAATCACAGCAAGATCAATACATTTTTTTTAAAATCAATAAAAATTTTTTTATTAATTATATATTATTTTAGCCAATCAAAATGCTTAATCAGATGATCAGGTAGGGGTGGGGGGGTCAAGCCTTCTAATTGACTGAAATCAGCTGATTTCTGGCACGCCCCTAATTGTACTCATCGCTAAATTGGCAGGTTTAAGTCCTAAAATCAAACTAAAACCTAACCTTCTATTAACAATTTGAGTAAGAAGTTTTCTCATCTCATTTGTATTCTAATCCATTTTCACTTTACATGAATCACATCAAATGTCTTAAAACCATTCAGTTTATTATTGATTTGTCTACAATGCCTACATATTTTAAAAATATACTTTTTAATACACTTAATGACTACTCTCTTATTTTATGTAAGAGAAACATTTTGAAATCTGAAATGTGATCAAGTCAGCATTATGCAAATCATCCTCAATCTATTAAATCTTTTTTTATTCTTAAGTACCATATATGATATTTCAAATTTAAGTAGCAGAATGATCTCGTAATTTTGGCATAACTATCAGACCAGCTAGTAGCACTTATCTATTAAATTACGGATTTGTTATATGATTCATAGCATTTTTTTTTCAAATGAAATCTCTCTTTTGTTTGTTCTTTCCAAAGCAAAATTCTTGTCACTCTGTAATTTGTTATATTTCTTAAACAATTTATTTGAATATTTTATCAATATCACCATTACCCCATTCAATTAATTAATCATCAGAATCATAACCTATCATAAATATGCAAACACCTAAATCTAGCAAGATTACCTTTTCACAAATATCATCTTGATTATTGATAATGTTTAAAGGAACAGAAACACATAAATAAAAATGTTCTAAGTGATTTATAATTATGTTAACTGTATTATTAATCTCTAATAGTTATTCTGAAATAATAATACTCTTTACATATGTCAAAAGCTGCCAAATTAAGGATCATTTAGGCTATCCTAAAAGGACCTAAATAGTCACCAATTTTTTTTTATTTATTTTTGCAGGATGTCCGATTGGTAATTATAAAATAGCCCTAATTGTGCAGAATAAGGTTATCAATAGGATACCTATTCATTCGCAACTGGATATCAATAGGATTGACCTTATTGTTATCCAGTTTTTTTTATTTACTTGTTAGATTAACCTATTGTTATCCATTTTTCTTATTTGGTAGCTTACTGATTGATGTCATTTTGGTTAATTTTATCAATATATACATATAATTTATTAAAAAGTAATTAATAGACTATGTCCGATTGTAAAAAAAATTAACATATAGATTCAATACATGCTTTCGATTGATTCCAAATTGCTACTTAATTTATCAATTTATTATATCAGATTTATATTACACACATAAGGTTGCTTGTCTAAACCTCTTCAAAATCCTACGATTAGTCTCGTCAAAATTTTACTATAGATTTATTATAGTTTCGGCAGAGTTTAAGCAGTTTAGGAATTTATAATAAGTTTTGGCAGTTTCACCTTTCTCCAAAGTTTCGCCAGTTTTTTAATATAACTTTAATATAGTTTTGGCAGAATTTCGCTTTTCGGCGAAACGCCATCTTGCCCAAACCCCTAGGTTTCGGCAAGCAACCTTATACACACAATTAATTAATTTCAATTTATTATAATTATTTGTAATATTAATATTAGTCTGAAATATTCTATATAATTAATATATTATGATAATTAATTAAATTTTTAAATAAGAATTTTATTTAACATTATGGATCTACTGGTCAAAATTATTTCTTTTGGCATTAATACCTTTCATCAAAAGTTCATCATCATTATTACGTAATTTGTTAAACATTCGGCCAATTATAAAAATCGAAAAAAAAATTAGCATAAATCAACTGGTCAATTTTTGGTCAATTTTTGGTTGAATTGTAACATAAAAAAAACCATAAATTGACCAATATTTTTTTTTGATCAATTTTTATTAATAACAACAATTGACTTGACAATTTTTAACAACCTTAAACAAAATTAAAATATTGAACCATCTAAATAATAGCCGAATACTTATTGAAAAGTAAAACTTAAATTAGTAATGATTTACATTTGACTCCCTACGATTTAAATAGACTTTTGCCATAAAAGTCTAAATTAGTTTCTTTTAATCAGGTTCAGATTTTTTAAGTTTGTTTTTTTGTAGTTTCTTGGAATTTATTTTTGTAGGTCGTCTCAGTTCGTTTTGACTTCTGGACTTATTTTTTTTTCTTTTTGTAGGTTATTTCAGTCTGGTTTCTTCTATTTGGACCTTTGACTTGTGTCCTGAAGGCTCAACGGTAGAGCATACGATTTAGTCGTAAGATGCAGGTTCGACTCCTGCTCAGGATAATAATATCCTTTATAGGTTGTTTCATTTTAGCTCTCAAACCAGAATTTTCTATTTTGTAGGTTTTTCGTTTCGACTCTCAGACTTGGATGTTTTTGACTTCCAGATTTGGAATTTATTTTTTATAGGTTATTCATTTCGGTTTTTGGACTTTAGCTTGGAATTTCTTGGAATTTTTTTATCTTGTAGGTTTCTTCATTTCAGTTTTCAGACTTGGGCTTAGAATTTATTTTCGTTTCAGTTTCTGAACTTAGAATTTCTTTTTTGTAAGTCAGTTAATTTTAGTTTCTGGACTTGGAATTTTCTTTTTTGTAGGTCAGTTCATTTCAGTTTTCAGACTTGGAATTTCTTTTTTGTAGGTCGGTTCATTTCAGTTTCTGGATTTGAGTTTAACTCCTATCAGTAAATAGGTTTTTCTTTTGTAGGTACGCTTCGATTTTAGGATTTGGGAGTTTTGGAAAGATAGCGTTTTAATATTACATCCTGAAGGCTCAATGGTAGAACATATGATTCAATTGTAAGGTGCAGATTCGACTCCTGCTCAAGACAATAGCTGATTCGTATTTGAACTTGAAATTTTGATTTTTCTTTGTAGGTTACTTCCGATTTATTGATTTTCTTTTTTATAGTTACTTTTGATATTTGCTTTTAATTTTCTTTTTGTAGGTTTTTTTCAACAATTTTTTTCTTTGTAGGCCACTTCAGTTCCAATATTTCAGGTTTTTTTTTTAGGTGGTTCTTTTGGTAATATTAATAATGAACGATTACTAATAACCATTCTTTCTTTTTTTTAGGTTCAGTGGACTTCCAAATTCTGAAGATTGGAAAAAAACCAAGATTTGTAAGTATATATGAATCTTGGTTTATTTTTTTGTTTTTGTTTTTTAATTTTATTAATGAATGGTTACTAAAGGACCCCGGATATCTCCAAAACAGGTCATAAGTCACACTTTCGGCAGATTGGCCCATTTTTCAGGGGCTCAAAAAATCGTTTTTTGTAAATATCTCGGCATCCAGTGGTCCAATTTTGATGAACTTTTTTTTAAATTGTAGAGCTAAATGAGGGCTACAAAATAAAAAAAAGTTCATTAAAATTGAATTACTGGATGCTGAGATATTTACAAAAAACGATTTTTTGAGTTTCAGCAAAAAGGGGTGTTTTTGGCCAAAAGTCCATTATGACCTTTATATTAGATATCCGGGGTCCTGTTACTAATAACCATTCTTTTTTTTATTTTTTAGGTTCAGTGGGCTTTTGAGTCCAAAGAACAAAAAAACCAAGATTTGTAAGTAAGTACAAATCTTGGTTTTATTTTTTTATTTTTTTTTAAAAAAAATATTATGAACGGTTACTAATAACCGTTCTTTTCTTTTTTTTAGATTCGGTGGGTTCCTGAAGAACGAAAACCCAAAGATTCGTAAGTATGAATCTTACTTTTTTATTTTTTTAAAAAAAAATATTATAAACGGTCAGAGAGCTTACAGATATTACGTAATTATCAAAGGGGGAGGGGTAACTAAAATCTTACGTTACACTTAATAAAATATATAATTTATAAATATTATAATTTGATTGGTTATTAAATCTGACAAGAGAGGGGAGTAAGTTTATATTAAACTGAATATTACGTAATATATGTAACTCCCCTTATTAATAACCATTTTTTTCTTTATTTTTATAGGTTCAGATGGACTTCTGAGTTCTGAAAATAGAAAAAACCAAGATTTGTAAGTATACACAAATCTTGGTTTTATTTTTTATTTTTTTAAAAAATATTATGAACGGTTTTTACTAATAGCTGTTATTTTCTTTTTTATAGCTTTGGGTAGCCCGAAGAACAGAGAAACCAAGATTCGTAAGTAAGTACAAATCTTGGTTTATTTATTATTATTTTTTTAAAAAAAATATTATGAATGGTTACTAATAACCGTTCTTTTTTTTTAGGTTTCCATGAGCTTCTGAAAAATGAAAATCCAAAGATTCGTAAGAATCTTTATTTTTTTCCTTTCTTTGTTTATTATTACGAACGGTTTATTAACCGTTCTTATATTTTTTTTATAGGTTTAAGTGGGTTTACGAGTTCCTAAAGAACAACGAAAAATCAAGATTCATAAGTAACTATGAATCTTGATTTTTTTTTAATATTAATAACGGTTTCTAACCATTCTTTTCTATTTTTTTTAGGTCTTGGATGTCTTAGGTGGGTTTCCGAAGAATAGAATACCCAAAGATTCGTAAAGACAGTATGAATCTAACTTTTATTTATTTATTTTATTATGACAATTTCTAAGGGCAGTGACATATATTAGCTAATATTATTTTAATAGTAATGTTTACTCCCCTACCTCCAGGTAAGATTTTATGACCAATCACAACCATTTCACATGGTTTATATTATGTGTAACCTAAGATTTTCTTTTACTTTCCCACCCCCTAAAATATTAGCTAATATATGTCATCACCCTAACCGTTCTTTTATTTTATTTTTTAGGTTTTGGGTTAATTTCCAAAGATCAGAAGAAAAGGAACCAAGATTCATAAATAAGTACAAATCTTGGTTTATTTTTATTATTATTATTATTTTGGAACAGGTACTAACTATTCCTTTCTTTTTTTTATAGGTTTGAGTGGATTTCCGACAAATGGATGAACTAACAATAAATGAAGGAACCAAGATTCGTAAGTATGAATCTTGGTTTATTATTTTTTTTTTAATATTATAGAACGGTTACTAATAACCGTTTCTTTCCTTTTTTTAGGTTTTGGGTGGGCTTCTGAAGAACTCTTTATACTTTTTTTAAAAAAAAATATTTTTTGTTAATTGTATTTTTTTTCTATTTTGTAAGTTTCAGCCTTCAGTTATTGGGCATTGGATATATAGGTAAGTTTTGAAGTAAAACTTCAAAACTTTTTTTAAATAAAATTATTTTTTTTTAATTATTTTTTTGATTTTTTTTCTTCTATTTTGTAGAATTCGGCTTTCAGTTCTTGGGTTTGGATATATGGGTTTGTTTTGAAGTTAAAACTTCAAAACTTTTTTTAAAAACAAGTATTTTTTTAATTTTATTTTAATTTTTTTTTCTTTTTTGTAGATTTCGGCTTTTTATTCTTGGGGTTTGGATGTACAGGTAAGTTTTGAAGTAAAACTTCAAAACTTTTATTTTTGATTATTTTTTTATTTTGTAGGTTTCAGCTTTTGGTTATTGGATGTTGAATATATTATATATAAGTTTCGATCAGAATGAAAGAATAGAAACTTTTAAAAAAAAATATTTTTTAATTATTTTTTTATTCTATTTTGTAGGTTTTAGCTTTCAGTTCTTGAGCATTAAATATATAGGATAGGTGAGTTTCGAAGTGAAAACTTTGAAACTTTTTTTAAATAGAATTATTTTTTTTAATTATTTTTTAATTTTGGTTCTTGAGCATTAGATATACAGGTGAGTTTCAGAGTGAAAACTTCAAAAATTTTTTTTTTAAAAAAATATTTTTTTTTTAATTTTTTTTAATTTATTTTTCTTTTTTGTAGGTTTCGACTTTTGGTTCTTGGGCTTTGGATATATGAGTAAGTTTCGAAGAAACTTTAAAACTTATTTTAAAAAAAAAAGATATTTTTTTAATTTTATTTTTGATTATTTTTCTATTTTGTAGGTTTCGACTTTTGGTTGGATTTTAGATATATGGATAAGTTTCGAAATGAAACTTTGAAACTTATTTTAAAAAGGGATTTTTTTTTAAATTTTATTTTAATTTTTTTTTCTATTTTGTAGGTTTCGACTTTCGGTTGAACTTTGGATATATGGATAAGTTTTTACTTCAGATTTTTGGTTGGGTAAGTTTCAAAATATTTCGAAACTTAAATTTTTTTTATTAAAGAATTGGTTTACTAACCGTATCTTTATTTTTTTTGTAGATTTTCCTTTGGACTTCTATTGAATGGGTAGGTTTTGAATCTTCAAAACTTTGACCTTTTTTTATTGTAATAATAACGGTTTACTAACCATTTCTTTATTTTTTTTGTAGGTTTCTCTTTCGTACTTTTGTCAGATAGAGTAAGTCGTAGATAATTTTGAAGATAGTAGACGATGGTGGATGATGGATGGTGGATGACGAGTAGTAGATGATGGATGTGGATGATGGTTGATAATGGTTGATAATGGATAGTGAATGGTAAATGGTAAATGGTAAATGGTGGATAGTAGATGTAAATAGACAAATACTGTAGAATGTAAATATTAGATATTTAATATGATAATTTTTAATATGTAATTTTAATAAAGTGAAATAATAATAATCAATTGATTGTTATTACAAAATTAAAAATAAGCTAAATACATAAAATCATTAACAATTAGACAAAATTAGACTTAATTTCATCCAACATTTGGCAATTTGAAATTTGGACGAATGTCTAGTAAAAGTTGATAAATAGTTTATTTCCGATTTTTTAATGAAATTTTGCCAATTTGTGATTGCCAAATGGCAGGCAAACTGTACAAATCGTCCATAATAATTTTGACAATTTTTTTGGCAATAATTGGCCAAATTTAGGCCAACTTTTGTCTAATATTCATCAATTTGAAATTTGGATGAAATGGACTGTTCTGACCAGTAATACTTTCAACTGATTTTAGTTTTTTTCTTGAATAGTATCCAATATCATCATCATCATAAATTCCTTCAACCAATTTTAATTTTTTTTTTGAATGATGTCCAATATTGTCATCATCATCATTTTCTCTATATTTCTTTAACTCTTCAGTTATAATCGATAACATCAATTCTTTGTATCCAGATCTCATCCATTAAGATACGTTTAATGGAGCAGTTTCTTTCTTTAGAGCATACTGAGAATTATTAAAAACTCATTTTCATCTTCTTTTATCAACTGTTTGCCGATAAAATAATACGTCCCTGAATGGTTCCAGTTTGAACTGAAAACTGATTCAAAACTGACTAAAAATTCGGTTCAATTCTCAGTTCAGTTCAATTCTATTTTATTTTAAGAAAAAATGCAAAAATCGAAATAACTCAGCAACCAATGATTATATAAAGACGAGCAATAGCTCATTAGAATTGTCTCATTGAGATGTGTCGAATGGTGGTAAAATCATTTCTAGCCACCTCGATATATCACGAGATAATCAATGCTAAACATTTTTTATAAAACTAGTGATAGAATCATATCTATTGATCCTAGAAAAATGATCTTGGTATTATTTGATAAGTCTTAATGAGACAAATCTAATAAGCCTTTTTTCATTTTTTTATGATTACTACATAATGAGTTATCTTAATTTTCACATTTTTTTAAATTTTCGAACGTCAAAAAATAAAAATTCTGATCTAAAATATAATCCATCTTTTACTGATTGTATTGAAACAATCTTTAGCTCATTAGATCCGTCTTAATGAGATGAGTTGAATAACGGTAAGATCATATCTCTAGTATCGATAGATACCGTTCTAATGCTAATTTACTGAAATTGCTTAGCATAATTTATCTTATGATATACCAATGCTAGAGACATGATCTTACTGTTATTTAACTCATCTCATTAAGACAGATCTAATGAACTAAAGATCGTTCCAATACAATCAGTAGAAGATGGGTTATATCTTAGATCAGAATTTTTGTTTTTTACGTTCAAAAATTTAAAAAAATGCAAAAATTAAGATAACTCGTTATGTAGTGATCATAAAAAATGAAAAAAGGCTCATTAGATTCGTCTCATTAAGGCCTATTGAATGATGCCAAGATCATTTCTCTAGGGTCAATAAATACGATTCTATTACTAGTTTTATAAAAAATGTTTAGTGTTGATTAACTCGTAATATATTGAGACTAGAGAGATGATTTTATTACCATTCGACGCATCTCAATAAACCAATTCTAATGAGCTATTGCTTGTCTTTATATGATCACTGGTTGCCGAGTTATTTCGATTTTTGCATTTTTTCTTAAAATTGGATAGAACTGAACTGAACCTGATGGTTCCGGTTCAGTTTTCATTTAGTTTCAGTTTTTACCTAAACTGGAAAAAAACTGCACCAAACTGACCCATTTGGAGTTTTATTCTAACTAAAAAATACAATCAGATTACCAAAGTAGCTAATATAATATATAATTTGCAATCATTTCTCCACTTAATATCTTATATTACAATATGATTTTCATTTGAATTATTATCTGAATCAATTTTGGATTCCTCTGGACTATGATACGCATTTTCTAACATGATTGGATTGAATTCTGATTTCTTTAACTTTAAGACAATTGGATTGTCTAATAGTTGTAAATGTCTGACCATGTTTGTTCGTCTTATTTGTTTCTATTTTCACAATTTTAATGGCTAATTAGCTAATATTTTCATAAATAAACTCAATTAATATAATATTACCTAGCTTTAGCGTGAATTTCCATATTTTCTTTTGATTTCTTCAGTTCGCTCAGATTCAGATTTCTTTTTTTTTTAATAAATCTTTTCTCTGATAGCGGCGACACTGATGAATCATTTCATATGGCACGCCTTCACTAACCAGATACACATTGATATCTAACATTTTAAATAAAGCGGAAATAATTATTTTCGTTATCAAATCCTTTTGTGACTCAAAAGTTTTATTGATGTTGAGTTGACTGCTTGTAGGCAGTGTTGGGTTTTGGATTTGTCCAATTGGTTTTTTTAATTGAACAATTTTAGACTGTCCAAAACCAGTTTTGGACATAGTTTTGGACATAGTTTTAGACAGTTTAAAACTGCTCAAGAGTCCTAATATTTATCAACTGAAACTAAAAATAAAATAAAAATATAGTGTTAAAATGTTAAAAAAGTAAATATTTAATATAAATTAAATAATAAAAATTAATGTAAAATCAAAATAATATTAAAAATTAACATTTAAAGTTTTTTGAAGTAATTTAATAATTGAACTAAAATTAAAATTAGCCAAAATTAGTCATAATTCTGGCCAAAATTAAATTTTTTGTCATGTGATCTGTCCAAAACCTGTCTAATGAAAAAAAGGTTTTGATTTTGGACAAGTTTTGGACAAACGTCCAATTGTCCAATTGCCTAATACTGCTTGTAGACATTCATTTGATATTCCATTTTACTTCTCACTAAATATTTATTTGTGTTAGTTTCATGCATTTAATAAATTTGAAATTAAATAATTACTTATACGCAAGTTATCTTTCGTATCTTTTGGTAATTCTGTTAAACTGTGATAAGTTACTTTCCTGGCAGTAGCTGAACTAGAATCAGTTTCCAATCCACTAGTTCTCTCTGAACTTGAATTTGATTGAGAATCTGATCAAGAAGTTAATTGTTTTTGTTTTCTTTGCTTCTTAGACTTCTTAGATTTGGATTTCTTTTTGCTATTCTTGCTATTCTTTTTTGGTTGGTGGCCTTCATCATTCTTATCATCAGAAGAAACAATTTCAGTAGATTTGTTAGAAGCTTTAATGGAAGATGATTTCTTAGACTTCTCAGGTATCTTAGATTTCTTTTTATTTGGTTGATGATCTTTTTTACTGCTCTCATCATCAGAAGAAACAAATCTAGTGGATTTATTTCTGTATCAGGAAATTTGTTTAGGTGTAATTTAGTGTAATATTTTGGAAGTAGTGTAAAATTTCGAAATATTACACTACAAATGTAATATTACAAAGTTTACGTTCTTAAATTTGAATAATTATAATAATTTAAGAATATTTCGCTATCTACTGATCCAATCAAAATGATCTATAGCTCATTGGAATTAGCTCATTAAGACAAATCGAATGGTAGTAGAATCGCATCTTTACATTTGATAGATAGCTTACTATTAATTTAAAACTTTATTGCATACTATAGAGTGTTCTATCAACTGTAGAAATGCGATTTTACTACCATTCGATTTGTCTTGATGAGCTGATTCCAATGAGCTATAGATCATCTTGATTGGATTAGTAGATAGAAAAATATTCTTAAATTATTATAATTATTCAAATTTAAAAGCGTAAACTTTGTAATATTACGTTTTTAGTGTAATATTTCAAAATTTTACACCACCTCCAAAATATTACACTAAATTACACCTAAACAAATTTTCTGATGTATTCGTTTGAATGAATAAATGGGATCTTAGGTAAATATTTTAACAATGAATGTTTTGGATTTTAATTAATATATCATAAATTTGCCTTTTAGGTTTCTATTCCAATTCAAAATGATATATTGAACTGGAATTGCTAAGAATTATTGTACAGAATTGCAGAATCAATAATTTTATATATATTCAATTGGACAATCAGAAGCTTGTTAATGGTCTTAAGTTAATTGAACTTCGGCAAACAACTGGTTCATTAGCGGCATATGATAACCTCAGATTAGAAGAATTAGTTCAGTTCAAACAGATTTTTTGCAGCGAATTAGAAGATACGATCACTGGCAGTGAATTTATCTGGGCAATTTATTAAGTCCAATTAAAAATCGTGTTGATTTACCTGACAATTTATATGAACAGTTAATTACTTATTATAATGAAGTTTATAGTAAAAAGATGGATGTTAAATTCGACTTCATGTTAAATCTGATCAGTCAAGATTTACAGAATGATTCGTATGTAGTTGTTTAACTAATAATTAATCAATGCAGAAGAATTCAAGTGCCAACTGAAATTTTTGGATCAGCGTTAGCACCTCAATAAAGATGTGATATGTAATTATTTTTAAAAGGTTGTAAGGTTGCAATTATTACAACATACATACAACACTTTTGTTGTAATTACAACACAATATTATAATTATTATATAGTATTATAATACTATTAGTATTGTAATTATTATATAGTATTGTAATTATTTTTAATTATACAAATATGTATTATAACTGTCTCTTATACACATCTTTGCATTTTTTCTTAAAATTGGATAGAACTGAACTGAACCTGATGGTTCCGGTTCAGTTTTCATTTAGTTTCAGTTTTTACCTAAACTGGAAAAAAACTGCACCAAACTGACCCATTTGGAGTTTTATTCTAACTAAAAAATACAATCAGATTACCAAAGTAGCTAATATAATATATAATTTGCAATCATTTCTCCACTTAATATCTTATATTACAATATGATTTTCATTTGAATTATTATCTGAATCAATTTTGGATTCCTCTGGACTATGATACGCATTTTCTAACATGATTGGATTGAATTCTGATTTCTTTAACTTTAAGACAATTGGATTGTCTAATAGTTGTAAATGTCTGACCATGTTTGTTCGTCTTATTTGTTTCTATTTTCACAATTTTAATGGCTAATTAGCTAATATTTTCATAAATAAACTCAATTAATATAATATTACCTAGCTTTAGCGTGAATTTCCATATTTTCTTTTGATTTCTTCAGTTCGCTCAGATTCAGATTTCTTTTTTTTTTAATAAATCTTTTCTCTGATAGCGGCGACACTGATGAATCATTTCATATGGCACGCCTTCACTAACCAGATACACATTGATATCTAACATTTTAAATAAAGCGGAAATAATTATTTTCGTTATCAAATCCTTTTGTGACTCAAAAGTTTTATTGATGTTGAGTTGACTGCTTGTAGGCAGTGTTGGGTTTTGGATTTGTCCAATTGGTTTTTTTAATTGAACAATTTTAGACTGTCCAAAACCAGTTTTGGACATAGTTTTGGACATAGTTTTAGACAGTTTAAAACTGCTCAAGAGTCCTAATATTTATCAACTGAAACTAAAAATAAAATAAAAATATAGTGTTAAAATGTTAAAAAAGTAAATATTTAATATAAATTAAATAATAAAAATTAATGTAAAATCAAAATAATATTAAAAATTAACATTTAAAGTTTTTTGAAGTAATTTAATAATTGAACTAAAATTAAAATTAGCCAAAATTAGTCATAATTCTGGCCAAAATTAAATTTTTTGTCATGTGATCTGTCCAAAACCTGTCTAATGAAAAAAAGGTTTTGATTTTGGACAAGTTTTGGACAAACGTCCAATTGTCCAATTGCCTAATACTGCTTGTAGACATTCATTTGATATTCCATTTTACTTCTCACTAAATATTTATTTGTGTTAGTTTCATGCATTTAATAAATTTGAAATTAAATAATTACTTATACGCAAGTTATCTTTCGTATCTTTTGGTAATTCTGTTAAACTGTGATAAGTTACTTTCCTGGCAGTAGCTGAACTAGAATCAGTTTCCAATCCACTAGTTCTCTCTGAACTTGAATTTGATTGAGAATCTGATCAAGAAGTTAATTGTTTTTGTTTTCTTTGCTTCTNTAATATTTAAAAAAATTTAGGTCTCTGAAAATCTAAGGTAAAATTTAATATAATTTTAAAAGGTCACTATATATATATGGTAAAATTATGAGATAAGGTTGGTAAAATTACTAGTAAATCTGAAATTTTGCCTAGAGACCTTTATTAGAAGTAAGCGGGGTCCTATCTAAGATAATAAATCGATAGAATTATACCCAAGGATGGTGTAATTTCGAGCATATATTGTGACTTCCAACTATTGGTGAAAGAACGCACAAACTTGTTTATGTTAAATAGTACCTATCGGTTAATAATCATTAAATTAAATTTTACTGCTGAGCTGAACAGAACAATGATCACAGTGTTAATATTGAACTCTGAAAACTTATTAATGAATTTTATGAAATGTCTCGTGATAGTATAATTCCAATTCATAATATTTATCCCTTAAACTGTAAGCAATTGCGGGCAAATTTGCCCGCAATTTTACCAAATTTCAGCTCTCATCTAATTTTATGAAAAATAAAGCAATTTTAATAAAATTTTTTTCAAAAATAGTTTAAATTATATATTGTGCAGCAATTATTATCATTTATTAATTATATATTAGAAAATCGAAAATTACCCATTGGTTGAAAGTTGTATTTTAAGATAATCACAAAATTTTAAAAAACTTTGCACTTAACTTCGACGATTTCATTGATAATTAATTGTAGCTATATAAAAGCTTAATAGAATATGTAGAATTTGGTATGAGAAATGACTTTTGTTAATATGATTTTTGATATTTAAAAGTAGGATTTTGACTTTATATAGAACCTTAATGAAAATTTTATTATGCATTTTAATTATAAATTCATAACAATTGATTTTTTTTATCTCTATTTTGTTTATTATAATGCAAAATTTTTATAATAAAAATAAAAAGTTATAATAAATATTCAAATAGAGAAAAAATATGGTAAGAAAAGTTTAAATTTTATTATATAAAAATTCTGATACTATTTTTGCGGGTTAATTTCCAATCCAATTTTAATGATCAACTGTATATCTAACTCATACAATTTATGGCCAGAATGTAGATCAATTTGGCTGCAAAATTATGTGACGATCTGGCCAAAATTAAAGAATTTTTTATAGCATCATTTATTCTAATTTAGAAATTGCGGGCAAATTTACCCGCAAAACAGTTTAAGGGATAGTCAGTTTATTCCTACTAATTTTACAATCAAAATAAATAACAATAACAATAACAGCAGACGGAAAGTGAAAACTTATATGGCAGTAGTACCGATTAATAGAACGTTTCATTTATAATTTCTATTATTAATAAATCGTAATAAATCAGTTATTTTATTTTATATATGCCAAGTATACTTAGTGAATATTCATATCAAATGTATTGTCAAATATTATAAATTTGGTAAAAATAATGTAATATATATAATGGTATTATTAAACCAACAGATTAATTTATAGCAACCAATCAGTTTATACCTATTGGATTTAGTTTTACATATAGTAATAAACCAAATGATGACTATTGAATAATTACCTAATTTATTTAAATTAATAAATTCTTTCAATCCGGATAGCCTAAATTTTTACATAGTTATCAAAGGACCCTGAAATATATATAAAAGGGTCAGGTTAAAGATGTGATATGTAATTATTTTTAAAAGATTGTAAGGTTGCAATTATTACAACATACATACAACACTTTTGTTGTAATTACAACACAATATTATAATTATTATATAGTATTATAATACTATTAGTATTGTAATTATTATATAGTATTGTAATTATTTTTAATTATACAAATATGTATTATAATATATTAATTATTTCTTTTTATGATGATATTTATTCTATAAAAACTTATTTTTGTAATTTTTATTTTTTAAAAAGAAAATTTTTGAATAATTATAAGTGTTGTAATATTACAACACTTTAACTTTAAAAGTAGTAATAGATTGCAATCCTTACTATTACAACATAAGGTAGTAATTATCAATTACATACTACATCTTTAGGTCAGGTCAGAGTTTGCGTATAATGAGTCAAAAAAATCATGTAGATCATTCCTTTCATGGATAATCCCAGCCAAAATAATGTTTCCTAATTTAGATAATGGCTGAAATTATTGTAATTCTGGCCCTAAAAGAATGCGTATTTTGGATCACTTCTGAACCTGACCTCTACATATATATTTCAGGGTCCTGTTATCAATTGGGTATATGTTCTATTGATTACTAATTTTTGGCTAACCTATTAGTTTAATAGTTACCAATAGTGTATATGCCTGATTTTTCAGCTTTCAACCTGTGTTAAGAACACATATTCTTCTCTAATCCTATTTTAATCCTTAGCAAGAATTGAAATGATTTGTGTTTAATCCTTCTTTGATCAGTACTTCATTTGAAAATTATTTTTATACAACTTCTTATTTGCTTTATAAGTACTCATCAATTATTAGATTGCATATGAACATACTTCTTTAAGGGTCTCTTTTATCTATGAAAATTCTTTAGTAAACTATTTATTGTTTAGATAGAATTCTCATATGATGCTTATATCAGTGATCTCATTATTTAGTTTTGCATCATCCCAAAAATTTTATTATATATCTACTTCATGATTCCCATCTATTTTTTTAGTTTTTCTCTGATCATTGAGTAAATTTGTATTTTTCGTGTTTTAATTTCTTTTTATTATTTTTGATTTTCAGCTAATCTAAGTCCATTATATCTTACTGTAAAGATAGTAACAATTAATAATAAGTTCTCAGCATTTCAGTAAATTCACTGGATATAATGTCATTAATGTTAATATTTGAACTGAGTATCACAACCTTTATGTTATGTTTAACAAGAATCTATTCGGCAAGTTTAAAAGTGAAGTGGCAGAATCAGTTCTTGTAGATAATCACAAATAACTTAGTCATATTATGCAAAAAAGTATACATAGTACTATAAAAGATTGCATTATACTAAAGATATAAAAAAGCTAGTATTTGATTATAACGAAGATCTAAATAATCTTGATATACAAGAATGTGACAGTAGTGTTCTGAATAATATAATTATCCAAAGGATATTGGACTTGTACTTTGTAGTTATAGATAAAAATACATATTTTTGATATATAGTGATATATTATATACAGTAAATTATATATGTTATTGAAGAAACAATAGAAAAAATAAATGATTTATACTATTATATAGAAAATGTTTCTGAAAATACAACAATGAAGTTAACTATTGAAGAACATCTTGCCAATGATTTTCCAATTCCTGAATTTATTTTATCAAAAATAAAAGTATAGAGAGTGGCTAATATTATGCAGATATTTAAAGATATTTTGGTATCTAGTGTTAAAATTCATGATTTTATATTCATTGTATTCATCTTATTGAGAGGATTCAAATGATAATAAAATTGTCTTTGCATGATCAATATTCAGTGTACAATTACATTTGATGTGATAATTGGATTTTTATGATCTTTATTTAGTTCATTGTATTCACCTTATTGAGACAATTCAAATGATGGTAAATATATTGACTGAATTACAATATTTTTTTGAATTTTTAACTATTTATTATACTAGTTGTACAAATTATAGAATTTTTACAGTGGGCATTCTCATATTTGCAAAAAATTCTGAAAAGTATGAAGTGTAAGAGTTTGTTTATTATGACTGTAAGTACAATATAGTTAAATTTATATTACATTAATCCCTTTGTATGTTCTATGTGTTTAGTTTATTGTTTGTTTGTCTTTGATTTTATTAAAATATTTAAGAAAATAACAAATTGAAGGATATAATTATGATAAGGGTAAAGATAAATCTAGCACAAATGCTAACTGAAGGTATGCATATTATTTCATATTAAGTATATTTAAAATAGTATTATTCCCTTTATTTAAAATATAATATTTTTGTAGTTTATGGACCAATACTAATATCATGAAAATGTTGATATTTTGTCATTAATTTTACAAGACAGCCTAATGTTTATCATGAATATTGCGATCACATAGAGAACTTTCTGATATGTTATGTACTTATGTGCCCAATAATCAAATAATTTCATTTCAAATTTTCAAGCTTCATATATTTGACTGTGATGAGATTATAGATGGCAAGCCTTCCCCATGTCTTTACTCGATTTATTGTGAAGAACATGATGAATTATATGTTTATTTTATTGATGATCCATCTACAAAAAGATTACAGAGCCATGAAGATGATACTCTTTTGATGATTCGTAATGAAGATAAACTTAATGCATTATTATTTAGTTATAAAATAGCAAAATAATTTTCAAAAGAAGCAAAAGAAAGACTTATTAAAAGATGAATTGACCCTTCAATTGAGGAATTCAGCGTCGAATTCCTCAAAATCAAAATTAAACGAAAAAAAATGTTGCACAACATAAAATAACAGCAGGATGTTATTGCTATGCGTTTTTTTATTTGTTATATTATTGTACAAAAGATTTTTAATGTGATATTTGCTATTACTTTATTTTTTACTGTTAATTTCTATTTTACATTTTATATTATTGTAAATTTTTTTAATATAATATTTGCTATTGCTAATTCTATATAATTATATAATTTCGTTGATTCTATATGAATATCTCAATAAACTTTGCAAAAAAAAATTTGAAGAGAGGTTAGTTATTTCAAGGGAGCAATCTATAATTCTGAAGTAAATTAGAATCGTTTATCAGAACAGGTAATAGTAAATCAGAAGTATGTCGTCTATAATATGTTCAACTTTCACCTCGAATTTTTAACATTTAAAAAACTAGTCTATTAACATCTTTTTAACCGATTACTTGTATTCGATTACAGAAGAAAACGGTTGACAAATAATTCAATAATGGATCGTTTCTTAATGCATTCGTTTATGGATTCGCTTAAAACTCAGACAGAAATATTGAACATACTGTATGTTATAGTTAGTTTTATATACGAAGAATGCTTGATTAACCGATGAGATTATATCTCACGTAAAAACGGACTATTTCTTTACCCTTTTTTTATAAGTACCACGTTTTATTACTTTATAGTAAAGTTTTCATGCGAGCCCATTGAGTTTTCATCTGTTATTTGATCATCTATCTGTTGTTAAATATCGACAAAAATCTCTCAAGAATTTTCCGATTTTCTTTTCATTTCTTTCATTGACTGCCTGGTTGTATAGTGCAATTGATCCCGATTTGCCATCTATAGCAATAATCTTTCGATATTATCGTAAAAGATTGTCCTATGGAAATACAAACCTTGAATACACATGTGATATGCAATAATTTTTGATAATTATTTTCGAAATGTAACTTACTCTGATTCCCCTAACACATAGATCAGATAGTGTATGAAGACTTCTGGTCTAAGTACCAAATCCAAACAATAAATGATAAATGAAAATGCCGAAAATAATAGAGCTAGAAAAAAATGACTCTATGACACTAGAGTTGAAAATGGGAATGAAGAAAACGGTTCTATACCAATAGAAAATAAGGCTTCAGACCTGGATCATGTTTACAATTCTTCATACGTACTAATGAGATTCATAATCTGTTCGGATAAGTCTCGAATCAAAGTCTTTAATTATTTTATTTCATGAAATAAGTTTATCTGACGGAACCTTAGGAGGACAGAAGAGTAGTGTTACAGGATGCGGAGCTACTTGCTCAAATAATAGCTGTCACGAGAACAACATGAAAAAAAAAAGTTTTGAAAAATCCGTCTTTTTATATTTGAATGATGCGCATGCGTACTATGACGTTGTAAAATACAAAATAATCCTTTATAAACCAATACAAGAATCTAAAAAAAGAAAGTAAACCGAATTATTTCATAATCCGATAAGTTATAATTTATTTTTAAGAAAGTAGAGTACAAAATTTTCAAGTCACTAAATAAAATTTTTTTGTTCTTATGTTTTAAGGTTTATTAATCTGGTGTTATTTTTTTGATCTCGTCGTTCTGGGAATAATATTACAATTCTTAAAAACGTTATTATACTACCTTCCATAAGGTATAGACTAAATTACTTAGGCTCACGACTTACTATCATCACCCTCTCCAATAGGGATATTACTGTTATTTAAAGTATCAATAGTACCTCTTAATTCTTTCCTTAACACTTCAATGTCGCTTCCCAGTCCATCTAAATCTTTTTGAGATTTAATTAACTGTTCATTGACTCTTATAAAATTAGTAATAATTTCGTAAGTATTTGAAACAACTTCTGATGAAGCATCATCAACCTTATTTAAATTACCAAGAAAGGTTGGTGATAAAATTTTTGGAATTGGGTCTAATAATTGAAAATTATATTATATGATATCAAAATTTTTTAACACTGACTGTAAAAAAAAAAATTTAAATTATACTTGGTGCCGGTCCTTCATCTGCTGAATCCTCAGTTTTAACTATTTCTAATACGTCTATTTTCTCTCCAATATGTGTTTGATGATATGTTTGTAATCTTGTTAAATCTGAGAGAATGTCTGTGAACGATAATGTTGTAGGTGGTGCTGGTAAACTTGACTTACGTTTAAACATTTTTTTTTTAAAAAAGTGGATTACTCGTCATATGATTATTGTATATATGTATGAAATTAGACACATAAATGATCGACGCTATATTTTGCTGATATGTCGTCTCGAGAAAAATTTACGCAAGGAGTTTCATTATTATTTAAAACTCAATGGACAGCATTAAAATTAGCTGTAGATATGCAATGGGGAGGACACGATTCCGAAGATAAAAGAGATTGGTTAATTGATGTTATAGTGGATTATTTTAATAAAAGTAATTTCTATTTAAATTTTCATTATACATTCAATTATTAAAATTATTTTCTCTAATATATATATACGTATATATTCTATGTATAGATGGTAAAAACACCGACGTTGATGATTTAGAAACTATTTTGAATCAAGTTATGACCGATGAATTTAACACTTTATTGGAAGATGATTCAGCATATCAAGTATGAATAAATATTCTCGAAAAAAATTTATATATATATTACATTAATTTATTTATTTTTTTTTAGATATCTCAAGACCTTATTAAAATATATCATGAATGCATTCAAGGAAATTACTCAACAGTAGATTTACTACAATCAAAACAAAAATCAGTTAAACAAAACTCGAAGAAAGCAAAAAATTATGAGGACGATGAGGACAATGAGGACAGTAGTGATGAATATGATGAAAAAAGTCTAGAAAATGGAGAAAACTCAACAATGGAAAGTGATGAGATAACGAGCATAAATAACTCAACAATAACTACAAAATTATCAAAAAATAAACCTATAATCGACGATGATGGATTTACTTTAGTAACAAGAAAACGGTGATTAAATTAATTAAATTAGCAATATAAATTTAATAATATTCCTCATTTTTTTATTGTAAATTATTATATTTATTTTTAATAAATTCTTGACATTCTTCTTTGCTACTATTGGGATATTCTAATTGCCATTCCATAATTGAATTCAATATGTCTCTAAAATTTGGACCCGGTTTAATATTCAATAATTTCTGAATATCTTTTCCCTGTGCATGCGGGAAAAATTTCATTTGGATAAGTAAAAAAAAAAATACTATTAAAAGAAGTAAATATTACTTACATTCAGCAAAGGTTTTTCTCTATAAGCATTTTCTAGTTTTAATTCATATATCCTTTCAATGAATTTAGTATATTTATTGTTAATTTCTTTAATTTCTTTATCTTCTTTGACTTGATCCATATACGGTCTCAATTCATTAGATAAAGCAAAGAGTAAAGTCGTTGGCCATTCAGAATTAAGTTCACGTATGCATAATCCTATTATTAAATAAATAAATTCTTTTCTAGCTTTTTTTTTTAAAAAAAAATCATATATTGAACACAATAAATAGATATATTAATACCGAGTCCGAGCCTATCGGTTAGAACTTCGTTATTTTGACTAACCGCTTTTGTCACAAAATCGACTGAAGATAAAAGTTTTTTTACTTTGTTAACATCATCATTCGAAAACTATATTATTTTAAATCATCCATTTAGACTTCTTTTTTCATAAATTTGACAAATCCATCAAATTCATATTATATCATACCTTTATACTTTCTCGAATTACATATTGATACGCTGGTTGACTATTTCCCTTTTCCGTATATGTCATATCCTTATAGGGTAACGTACAAGCTGCCAAATATAACGCTCTTTTTTCATTCTCATTTAATTGATGAAATATAATATGAATATTGTAATCTTTGCTTTTATCCGAAAGCAACCTAATAAAACATAAGATAATAAATAAGCTTATTATTTAGTATTAAATATTCAAATAAACTCATACCAACTAAGAATTTTTGCTACAATTAAACAATTTTTTGGGGCTCCGAGATTTCCAGATACAATGCTTTCTTGCGGTGGTGGTGAAAATACAACATCATATAATCCTAAATTAACGATCAAATCGATGGCTTGAACTGGATCAGGTCCTAAAAAAATAATAATAGTTAAAATAAAATAAAAGATATACAAATATAGAATTAAAACAAATATGACAATTATAAACCTTTAATCATTTTATCAATTTCTATCCCAACCCTCTCACGACTTATTTTCTCATTTAATGCCACCTATTTGAACGTTAAATTAATACATGGCTGACGCACGAATTATCCCATATGAGAACCTACTTTGATACTCTCATCTTTTAAAATAACATCTTTCACATCATCAACAATTTCAAAATGAAATCTACTTGCGAATCTTATACATCTTAATACGCGAAGTGGATCATCTTTAAAAGTTTTACAGGAAGAGAGTGGAGTACGAATTAATCCTTCACTCAAATCTGATATACCCTTTTATACCATATAATATTAATTAAGATTCGCATTATTTTAATTATAATTTCTAATTTTTTTGAATACCTTTTCTGTGAAATCTTCTACTTGACCTGTATGTATATTATAAAATAATGCATTTATTGTAATATCTCTACGATAAGCATCTTCTTCTGGAGTTCCATATTCCTTTTAAAAAAAATATCATAATAACAATGAATTTCCATTTAATAATTTCTCCTCACGTCTCTTAATTTCATAATACTTACAAGGGAAACAGGAATTCTACTATCCTCATATATTTCTTTTCTTAGATTAACAAAATCAATATCTAAACCACAAAGTTTCATTGTAGCTGTTTCTAAATGTTTAGATTTTTCGGGATTCGATTCTATTACGTGAATATTTACTTGATTATTATTTCCTTCCTTTTCAAGAAATTCTTTAATATAGTTTGCAAAATCAAACCCTGTTAATGAATTTATTGCAACATCTAAATCGTGACATTCAAGTCGGAGTAGCTATTTCCAAAAGAATTCAGAATCAAATCAAATTCAGATTTTTCTTTTTTATAAAACAAAAAAATAAACATTACTTTATCTCGAACCCAGCCACCAGCTATTCTAAGCTCAACAAGGGGTAAATTTTTAGTTTCTTTTAAATATGTAGTAACTTTTCTCAATATATTACATATTTCTGACTCTTGCTCTGTAAAATCAATACTCATTTCTTTGCCGGATTGCTTTTGCAGTCCTAATGAAACATGTGGCAAGCTTTTGCTCAAGGTACTACCGCTACCAGCAACAGAAGTTGTAACCTCCCCAAGTTTTACCCCTTCAACCTCTCTGTTAACTGAGTAAGGCTTATACCTTTGTAAAGGTTTTTTTAGGTTAGCTGGTTCAGACGGCACCTTTGCAAAGTTTGGTTTATAAACAAATGAATAAATAGTAAAAGGTTTGTAATGATATCGAAAAAAAATCTTTGAAACTTTAAAATTTCTTTTCATGGTAGATGATCCTGACATGATGATCAACACTAGATTATTTATGTAATGCCGATCATAACAAAGATCGGCATTGGTATCGACATAATAAAACATTGAAACAAGTTTCAGATATAAACCTTTTTTTGGCTCGATATTTTTGTCTTAAATAATTTAAAATATTACATGAATTTGTTTATTGCAAAATCAAATTTTCACTCTAACTCTTTCTAACTTTTCTAATTTCCAAGTTATTAATTCATAGAGTACATTTTAAAAGAAAAATTCTAATAAAAAAAATCTTTACAAGTTTTGTGAGAAAGAAAATATTAAATAACCCATCTCTAATTACGTGAATAATGAAAAGGTTAAATATATGTGTATATGTAATCGGTAAGAAGGAATTATAAGGTTCAAAGAAAACGGAATTGATGGTGTTGGAAAGTAAAAAAATTAAGTTAAATAGGAATAAATTTTTAAAAGGAAGTATAAAAATAAGCAAAATAAGCAAAAAAAAAAATGTTTTTTTTTGTTTTTAAACAAAAACCAAACATCATGATACAGATGATGGCATTTCTTCTGAATTCAATTGGTCCACTACATAATTACTTGGGAATACACCTCGAATAAATTCATCAGTTGTTCCTAAAAAAGGGATTAAAAATGTTATTATTAACTCAAAAAATAAACAGAGTGAGTAAATAATCTTACCATCTAGTCGCTTCCAACCCAACCACCATACTTCATCACTGGTATCTGTGACAAAGATCGTATCTCCGGCATTGAATCCTAAGAAATTCAACAGTTTAATCACAAATTTATCATTACTAAATATTTTCCTTTCAATAGAGGGGGAAAAATTTTTTACCTAATTCGCCTTCTTCCCTTGCAATAAACGGATATCTTGCACGGTATGCGTATGCTTGTTCTCCATTCAACCACACTTGACCTGTAGAAGCGTCTGCTGGAGTAACGATAAGAGATTGATGTTTTGTTGGGGATTGAGGTGGTTCTTTTGATTCTAAATTTCGTTCGCCTCCTACTGAAGTAGGTGTATTATTTTGTAACGTTGAAGTTTGATTATGATTTTGTCCTCCTGCTGCTGCTCCGATAGCTCCAGAACCAATGAGTCCAGATGCCGCAGCTTCATCTAATGATTTTACATCAACATTAGATCCAAACGCAGAATTTCTTAAATTATTGCTAGAGGTCATAGAATAACGACTATTGTTCTGTTGTCCGATTAAGGCCGCGGCAGCATTAATAGTGGCCATTAATTCACTATTACGGAAAGGCGTTTTTATGGACTCTCGCGGTCCTATTGAGGCAAGTTCTTTTGCTTGACGTTTTCGTTTGAAATATCTATATGACATTCCAGAAGCAAATATCAAAAATACAAAGGACAGTGCAATAACCGTTGAAATTGCAATAACTACTGGTATTGGCAAATGTTCTGGAATTCAAAGAAAAATTAAAATAAATAAGTATTTGTCTTTTTTTTTTCCCTTTTTTTCCTCTTTCTTTTTTTTTAAAAAAAAAGAAAAAATGCCGATTTTAAATTCTAAAATATTAAACTTACTTTTTCCGAGCAATAAATCAGACCCTATATTTGTGAATATAGCAAAAATACGTCCTGGAACTCCATTCATTTGTGAAGAAATAATATAAGGATACATATTTTTTCCATCATATAATGCTGCACTAACATCTCCAATTGGATCTAATTTTAATGAACCAGAAACAAGAAGCAACCAATCATCTCCCAAATAATCAACACTATCGTGTTCGCCATTTGAAGGAAGTAAACTTAAAGCTTCTATTTTAGAACCTGGCAAAATTTTTTCGCCTATATTCCTAAAATTATTACCAGTCCATTTACGTAAATATGCCGAGCTGTCTTCAGCGTACCCTGAGACGAAAAATTGATCATCTATCATGAAATCATTAAAGACTACAACAGCAGGCCCCGGAAGTTTACCATCTCCAACTCCTCTCATATCCTCCCAATTTGACTTGCCAAAATCATATTTAAGTAAATAAGCGAGATTTCCATTTAAGGTTAAATTTCCGGAAACGACCAACCTATCTCTTTTTTTCTATAATACAAAAAAAAAAAGATAAACACGTGCTTTTTTTTCTAAAAACTTCAATTATATTAATTATATTATATTTACCCCAATTAAATCCATAGCATATATTTCACCGGAAAGATTATCATTTACACCAAGAGATTTCCATTGTTTGAGATTTGAATCCCAAATACAAATATTCTTACATTCAAGTGAACCAGCTTTATCAAATTTGCCACCTACAAGGATATCAGAAGTTCCCGCACGATTTTTTATAGCATTAACCCTAACGTTATTATCATTAGCTACATTTTTAAAGAATGAGTTAATAAAAATGTATTCGGAAAAAAAAATTACGAAATAGAAATCTTCTTACCGGTTAATTGAGGTGAAACATTCACTATACGGTCATTCAAATTATAAATAAGAAATGAATTTTTATTTTCTTCGGCTGTGGATGCACTTCCGATGTATAGTAAATCATCAACCACAAGAAGGTTTTTGACTTCTCCAAGAATGACATCATTTCCAAGGTTATTCATTAAACCATCTCTCAAAATGGCAACATTCGTAATATTATTATCATCAAATGTGAATTTACCACCAATTATTACATTATCTTTCCATATTAAAACAGCGTTAATGATGGTCTCGAAAATGTTTCCATTTGAAGCTTGTGGATATAATGGAAGTGCGGAAACTCCAGAACTTGTAAGTAAACTACCTCCAAATGCAGTTGTAGATTGAGCAGATAAAATTCTTCCAGCATAAAAAGTTAAGGGTGTTTGTTCTCCAGAAACTGAATGAGATGCGATATCGCTAATTTTACCATCTACAAAACCGGAAGTTGTCCATTTGGGGAATCCATTATCCCAGATCACATAACCAGATGTTACATTACCAAATATTTTGCCCTCCGCATTAGCTTGTGGAGTTATAATTGTGTTAAATTTACCCGCTACGTGAATTTGTTGATTATTCAGTAAACTTATTTTATTTACTTCATCATTTACACCACCAGAGACTGGTGACCATTGTTCATCTGTAAGACTTAATTTAGCGATATTATTTAATCTTCTCGTTGCAGATTCTAATACATTGTTATTAAATAAACCTCCAATAAATAAATCATCATCAACTTTTTCCAAAGTATTAACTCGGCCATTAAGACCTCCTTTAGGGAATGGTATAAATGATGTACCATCATATTTTACAATGTTAAAGAATGTGACATTATTAAATTTACCACCAATTACAATTAACGATTGTGATAAGACTTTGATCGTATGCACAATCGAAAGTGGAGCTAATATACCATTAAACCCGTTCCACGCAGGCTGAGGGTTCAAGTTTGAGGGGGGCCAATATTGAAATAAACCTCTTAAAGGCGTACCACGATATACTTTTTCAAATTTGACACTATCAACTGTAATAAAAGCTCCAACAGGTGCTGTTACGGTAGCTGATATTGTAATTTCCACAGTGGGTTTAAAAAAAGTTGTAGTAGCAGAAATAAATACATTGAAAAGTCCATCTATTCTATCATTCAAGGTAGGATTATTTTGGGAAATTGTTATAGGTCCAAATGTTTGTCCGGGAGCAGCATTAATTATAACATCAACGGAAGTTGTTTTTGAGCAATCAATTGGAATGCAACTTGGTGTAGACATAGTAACATTGTAATATCCAGCTTGCGGAATATATGGTTGTAAAATAACTTTTGCCGTAGAGAGTTCTCCAGTTGTCTGCAATACACTTTTCCAAGTTCCAGATATTAATGTAGACGCCCATGCACCTTCAACAGTTACTTTTGGTTGAAATTGATTTACTGCGCAAGAGGGATTATTATCATTCGCAGCACGTACAACAATATCTAGAATAAAAGAGATGTAGAAATTATCTTTAACCTAACTTATTTTTTATTAAAGAAAAAAAGAAAAGGTTAATTGATTTTACCAGATTGGAAAAGTTGAATGCCATGAAATCCACCACCGAGTCCGTACCATTCCAAAATGTCCACTTGAATTCCTATTATTTCAAGTTGACTAACGAATGAGAACATTTGAAATTCAACATTATCAGAACTAAGAGGACAAGAATCTGAGCATTGTGTAAGGCCGGCTATGGGATCCATATAAGATAGTGTGATTACGCTCATATCAGCTGTGGCGATTAACCTATATGAAATAAAATTAAAACAATCTTTTACTTCATTCATTATAATAAACCCACTTTTCTAGACCAATAATTTACCTAAATGCTTTTGTTCCCCTCCCCTCAACATTTGTATTTTTAATTCCGATCATGCTTGGAGTTACTTTAACGCTAAATTCTGCTCTCCAAAAACCCGGAATGTTATCTCTCATCAACCAAGTTGTTCCAGGTCCATCAGGTTCTGCACTGCATGTAATAACGGTTGGATCTCCAAACTCTTCCCTAACAGCTGAATTACCTCCAGTTATCTATAATTTAGAATAATTAAATTAGATATCATAATCGAATCAAATCAATAAAATAATAATAATAAAAGAAGATAAATGAATAAAATAAAATAAAAAATATCAAATAACAAGAAATCAATGTTACCGTAGAATTTTGAATGTTTATTGGTTGAATATTTGATATATCACCAAATGTTCCATCCCCAGTTGCATCGAACTGTCCCCCAAAATATATAGTATTATTAGGTTCATTATATGCAATGGTGTACACTGGTCCATTAAATCCTTTGAAAGGTAGCGCAACCCACGCATTATCTCTCCATATAGCTACATTACCAACAAAATCCGCGGGATCTATATTATTTGTTGTTTTAATTGGAGCAGAAAACATTCCTCCAACATATACAATAGAATTGATGGTATCACAATACAATGAATATACTGGACCATCTAATCCTTCTATTAGAGGTGAAAATGTCTTTGCAGATGGGTCATAACGAGCTATATTATTAACTGTTATACCTCCAATTGAATTAAAATTACCACCAATATATACGTCCATTTCATCATTAGACCGAGGTAGTATACATATTGCATTTATTGTCCCATTAGATGATGATGTCCCGACCAATTGGAAGGTACCGTTTGGAAACTGTGTTATAAAAGAATCACTTGCACTGTCAAAAATTTCTTTTTGACTTGCACTGCTATATTCTGATATACCATTATATTGTCCCGGTATAAGAATTTGAGACAGCCCATTAAAATTAATTTTTGGTCTTTCAGCTGTAACATATACAACTTGTAATATACCAATACAAGATATAAGTAACGTTAGAAGGCTACTATATATCTTCATACTGTAAACATCAAGAATTAACTTTTCGAATTATCTCTGCTTGATCTTTCAAGTTGGTAATATTAAAATTTAGTTTGGATCTATAAATACGGTTTCTTTGACAAATACTGCTCGTATAGGATTAAGAAATTGAATAAAATAGATATACCAGATATTATTATATTGTTTAAATTAAATTTCGCTTTTAAAGAAAAATTATACAAAATTAATTTTCTATCTGCTATTATACAGAATATATATCTAATTTTTTTTTGTTAGTGATTTAACGTCCCAAGTCTAAAATTATTCATCGTACGATGATATTATATACTCGCAAAAGAACAGCTTTTCACGAGCTTTCTTTTCGGTTAAAAACTTTTGTTTTCGAAAAGAGGCGAAAATGCTGCAGTCTGCAGCTGTATGTTTAAAATAGCACAAATACAATTTTGTACAAATTATTAACAAAAAAAAAAATTTCGGTTTTGCAACAATTCTGTCAAATAACACTAACTAAAAAAGGAAATTCAAGTTTCGATGTATTTATTATTTAATAAATTATTTTCTTACAAAATATTGAGTTGATTATTTTACGTTAACTTCGCAGCCTGCATATTAGAATAAAAAAAAATATGGATCAGCTACAGGACTTAAATTGTGTATACAACCCAAAAAGGATAATATTACCTTTTCATATAATGATTCAACAACATTTCCCATTTGTTTCAAGGTTTCCAATGCGGCTTCATATGTTAACTTAAACATTTATTGTATAGTATTAGTTTAATGGACAATGCAAATATTTCGATAACTAAAATAAACTTACATCTTGAGATGGCTCGTCAAACACAATTAAACATCCTGCTCCTTGATCCAGAATTCCATGAAAAACTTTGTCTAATATCATTTGAGACAACTTTGTCTCCACTTGCGGGGTGGGTAATTTGACCATTTCCGCAACATGGGAAATTTCTACCCTAGAGAAAGGTTCTATTATGCGTACCAAATTTTGTTCAAGCAAAGTGTCATAAAGTGCAGCAAGATGTGACCGAATGATTGGATCATTTCCCAATTCTATTAATATTAAGAAAAATAACGACCGATTACAATTAAATTCTAGGCTTACATAAATTTATGATTTTATGATTAATACCATCTTTGTAAATCGCCAATGCGGTTTCGAATTCGTTTAGCGAACGATTTTTATGAGCTGTTGCTATAGCCTTCATAGCATCAACTTCGCGTCCAGCGTAACGTAAAGCGAGTTTACCATTGATTATGGCATAAACATCTTCCGACTTCAAAATTAAAAAAAGTATATCAATTGATTATGCAAATTAAATTGTGTAAAGATATTGATGACCGACCACAAAACTTACCAAATTTAACATGATTTTACAAAGTAACATATACTTCAAAGCAGAGATAGCTCTGGGATCATCTTGTGATGAATATCCTTCAAGAGTTTCGTAAAAATACGAATACCTATGAAATTTACAATAAGTTAGTTAAAATTACAAAGATTCATAATTACATTACATACGCTGTTTTATAGTCCTTATCCTCAGCATGTAAAATTCCGGACTGCATATCCAGTGCAGCCTGAAGAAGAGGTGGACAATAAATAGCATTCGCAGATGTTCTAGCTGATGTAAGAGCTGCCTTGAATATAAATGATTTTCATTAGCATAAAGATGATTATGGTCAAACTCTCAAAAAAGATATAAATTTGAAATCTACTCTAGATTTTGGTAAATTTCTTAACGCATGACAAACTCTGCTCTCCAAAAGTTGAACTTCCACTAGCACCATTTTATCATCCAAACGCTTCAATTCTTTTAAAAGTGAATTGATGAGACTTAAAGCATCATGATACATTTTATTATCAAGATATCTAATAAAAAATCCATTGGTATTTGATATTTTTTTAAAAAAATAAAAAAGTAAATAAATAAATAAATAATCCTACAATGCTACTAAACGGGTTTCCAAGGATTGTTTTAAAAAAATTCGTTTTTCTTGTACGCTCCAATCAATTGTTTCTTTGCAAATTTCGATTTGGAGTGGTAGAGTATCAGGTATTTCAGAAAACAGATCAATTAAGGTCTTTACTGAAACGTAAAAACAATTTCTGGAATCAATAAAGGAACAAAGATTGATTAACACGTGATATAAAAGATAACAATATTATACCGATTTTAGCAGTTTTAGCTCTCACAATTGATGCCATAAAAGATCGAGAAGAACGTATCAAACTTGATAATTCGTCTGGTTTTCTAATTAAAAATATAAAGCATTAATCATTAACTGATGGTCACAATTAAATATAGAATAACATACCTATAATCCCGATATAGTTCTCCAAGTTTAACCAAAGCAAGTTCTTGATCTCGGATCAAATTTTCGTTGTTTCCTAAAATAAATTATTAAAAAAAACCCCGATTTAAAATGATCGACTGCAAAAATCATTCCGTGCAAAAAGTAAATTATATAAAAAAAAAAGTCGCGTAGTCGTTTAACGTCTGTGAACGGTCAATTTTGAAATAAACATACCGGCATTCTGCGCAAGAATTTGCTTATATATTTGTTCAGCTTCACCTGGAGAAGTCTTTGCAAACTCCTCCGCCTGTTTCAAGGAAAGTGAGGACATTTTGAACGAATAATAAAGATGATTATATTTTATCTTTTATATGAAAATTTTTACATTACGTATACAGATGATAAACGGTGTAACGCCAAAAAAAAAGTATAAGCCCTACTGCCCTAACCCATTGAAAATTTTTCCGTTACAAAAATTCGAATAGTTGCACATAAACAAGCAAACTATTTGATAGAACTCTTTTTAATTATAAATTCCAATATGTCACTCGTTGCTGATTATGGATCAGATATATCCAGTAGTGAAGAAGAAAATGATATTCAAAATATAGAAACAGAAACCACAGTAACTACAGTAACAAAAAAACGTTCTTTAACTTCTTTACTTCCTCCACCAAAAAACAAAAGAAATGGACCTGTCAAGATCGTAGTTGATTTACCAAAATCTGTTAAAGACGATGAGGATGACAGTGAAAAGGATCAAAGTTCAAAAAAATCTAAGTCTAGTGGTAGTGATTTATTTGCTCTATTGCCAGCACCAAAAAGACCAATTACTGGCAAAGAACAAAAATCGTCAACAAATAAACCAACTGATTTAGCTAATAAGCCGACGACAGCATCTACAAGTTTTGTTCCTCATACACTTACAAAGCGAAAATCCGTGGCACAAAAAAATTCCAACTTATCACAAACTGTTTCCAAGATAAAAGGAAAAGAAGTAAAGGTGCATAGCGATGACGAAGAAACAAAAGACAAAGCTAATTTTACGGAATCATTTTTTCCATTAGGTAACTGATTACATTATTATTAAATATTTATTTTACATGCTTATAATTCATGTTCTATTGATAGGAGATGAAATAACGAATATAATACCAAATAATGTGATTGAGGACAAATCCTCCTTTAAAACAACTAATAATTCAGATAAGATTAATTCATCCAACATCGAATCGACAGAAGATTATAATGTGAATGATGATTATTATTACAATTACAATTACCAATGGGATGCCGGTACAAATTCATATATGGAATATCCAGATTATTATTACGATGGGTCACAATTACAACAACAAAGTAGTGAACAAGCGCAACCTGATAGTCAAATAGATGATGAAGTGGTAAAATATTGTACTAATTTTACTTTTGCTTGTTTTTTATTATTTAATGATTTATTATTTCATAAGTAGATTCAAAAATTGGGAGGCAGAAGAGGTAAAGAGGGGCCAATTATAATCAAAGAGATAAATGCAGCAGATCAAATGGCTGATGCATGGCAAGCTCAAATGGGCGAATTAACAAAACCTGGCAGAGGGGGAAGTGGAGGAACAGTATGTTTCATTTATTTGAATTATTATTAGCATTATTAAAAAAAATCTAATGAAATACGGACTTTTCTTACATTAGCATTTTAAACCAACAAAAGGACAAAAAAGAAAACATAATCTAATGTATTTGGCTTATCAGGCGGCTGCCATGGAAAATGATTTGAAAGAACAATTTGCAGCTAATAAGAAAACAAAAAGAGAGACCCAGGCAAAATATGGTTATTATGATTTATTTGTTATCACAAGAGCTTTGTTTATTTCTATAACTAATTTCATTTCTTTCGTTTTACAGGATTTTAATAAATTTGGTATTAATAATTTATCAGATAAAACTTACAACACTAGATTTGTGTTGCATTGTTTTTGATCATTGCTAGAAGGCTGTATGTGTTATTACAGTCTTGCTATTTGTTTTTACATGTGCATCCTAATCGTTTCGGAGGACCATGCAGTCTTTTTTTTGTATATATTGTTGCAACATATTGAATTATTCATAGTTATTAAAACTGAAAGAACATATTTATTATTTATATGATCTTGTTCTCACTATTTAGGATAATATCGATAATACAGTATTTTATCCTTTTGTAAAAATCCATCAAGGACATTTAATATAGGGCATATTATAATAGAATTTGCTGAAACGACTATATGAAAATGCATAGCTTTTCCATGTTAAAATTCTTTTTTCACTTGGTTTTCAGTCTATTTTTACCAAATTTATATTTAATCTTTCTAAATAAGGTAAAGTGGCTAATATTAATAAAAAAAAAATTAATGATTAACCGTCAATATTATATTAATAAATTTATAATACAATATTTAATTTAAGAAAAACGGCACGATAAAATAAAACTACTGACTCGATACACTTTTATCACTAAGATATGCCGCTTAAAATATTTAAAATGCTTATTTTGATAAATAAAAGGAAATTAAATTGGATAAAATTATAAAATTTAAGAACCTTTTAGTTAAGCGCTAGAAGCCATAACTCTTGGTTTGCATTCATTTTCATTAATGGGTTTTATAAATACAGAATCCGGAGGATGATCTTTTTCACCTTCTTCAAATGTATAACTGCTTGCTATAGCCAAATATTGTCCATCTCTACTGAAATCCAAACTTGCAATACTTGTTGGATATTGTGGATATTGTCTTAATCGCTTTTTATTAAAACCATCCCAAATATTAACCATCCCATCAGCTCCTCCTGAAGCAAAGGTTCCATGTCTAATAAAGATAGATAAGAAATGTTCGTTATAAATGTAAATAGGGAAAAAAATTTTTTTAAAAAAATTCGAGAAAAACTTACGTTGGATGAAAAGCTAAAGCGTTAACAGGATAAACAGTATCTACGCCATCAATAACTTTTCTATGGCATTTAAACGCGTATTTACGCGCCTGAGCTTCAGGTGATGGATCAAAGAATTCAACGGCAACGCGACCTTCAATTGAACTGCTAGCATAGCCTACATTCAAAAAAATTTTGTTATATATATTTGAATGGATGCTTTACCTTTAATAAATATTTACCTTGACGATTAGGCATACATTTCACACAACGAGTCATAAATTTTAAACTACTTTCACGTTTTTGTATAGTTTCCGACATATTTCTAATATCATAAATAAAAAATTGTCTGCCAGCTGTTGCAACCACTAATTTATAATGAACCAATGATAAAGCAAATACTTTTGCCCCGTCTCCAATTTCATATTGTCCAAATAACGCGTCTTTTTTACGAATATCCCATAACCTAATTGTACAATCCCATGATCCCGATACAATCATGTCTAAAGAAAAATAAAACGAAAGTAATGAAAGAAATAGTTCATCTAAAAACACGTAAATTTATGTATTCGACTTACGTTTTTCTAAACTATATTCAACGCACTTTACTGCTTTATCATGTAGACCCACGATAGATTCATTGGTTGAATTTATATCAAAACTTTAAAGAAGAAATATTTATTAAAAAAACTTAAAAAAAAATAATGTTCATAATAATTAACTTTTATTACCTTTTTATGCAATGATCTAGACCTCCGCTAAATATGTGTACACCATCAGAAAAACAACAATCAAGAACTGAAGCTTTATGTTGAAAAGAAGCTCTAAGCGAATTTTCATTTATGTCGTAAAGTCTTACTGTCTAAAAACATATGAAGTATATTGTATTAACAATGAAAGTAAAAATAAATAAGTTTTTCGCATACCTTATCCCAGGAAGAAACTAATAAATGATTAGAAGTAGTTGGGCTAAACACAACCGAGGAAATTGCATCAGAAGGCGGATCAACCAATTCAAATTGTTGTTGTTGCATTTATATAGTAGTGAGTATAGTGAGTGTATACTGTTTATGCTATTTAGACTGTTTATAATGAGTGGCTATTAAAAACGAGCGCGATTATAATTGTGTAACGTCTTTTATTTGCATGTCAATAATTACACTACAAAGTTTAAAAAAGTCGCAAAATAAATCCTCGCCAACTGATTTATTATCAAATACCGTATTTTGCCGTTATTGTTTTGCGGTAAAGTATATTAGTTTAACCCTCTGAAGAAATTCTTGCTAGCAGATCTTCTATTACGATTCTGATTATTGTAATCATTATCTTTTTTATTTTTATTATTTAATTTAAATGTCATTGTCATTTCACCCATATTACCCCATTTTCCATTTGATCCCTTTAATATAAATATATTCAATAAAATGTTGAAAAAAAAAAAATTCTTGAAAAAAAAAAAAATCTCTAACCTTATTTTTTTGCAATTTTGACGTAGATTGAATATTACGTATAGGTTCATCTTTTGTCTTTTTCGATTTAACTCCTTTATGTTTATTTAATTGAGTTATTAAATCTATGAAAAAATCGAATGTTAAATATGTATTATTTGAAAATCTGAATATTTACTATAAAATATCATACCTTCATCGCTGTCAGTCTCCATAGACGTGCCGCTTTCGTCAGATTCATTCATCTGTTCGTCTTCATCCTCCTCATCCTCCTCCTCCTCATCATCATCGTTATTCTTCAAATTTTTCTTCTATACAATCAAATCAATAAAAAGTTTAATTATAAAATCTTCCAAATTTCTTTAATAAACTCTAAATCAATAATACATACAGTTGGGTGTAATAAATTTTGTTGTTCATCAATTTCATATTCTGGATTAGTAAATAATTCAGCGAATCTATCATCTTTGAGTAAATTATTAACTTCATCAACAGCGGAAACAGTGGCAGTTCTTCCTTCTTCATATTGAAGAATTTTCCTCTTCTTTTCCGAAGATTTTATTAATCTACTTGCTAATTCCTTATTAACTTTGGGTAATTTTTTGGTTACTCTTATACGCGATTCCCTTTCCTTTTCAAGTTTTTCTTTAATTATTTTTTCTCGATAATCAGCATATGCAAATGGATTAGAAATAAGTTTTGCCTTAAATAGATAAAGACGTAAGCAAAAGTGAATTGGAATAAGAAAGTACTGGATATAACAATCTTACTTTCTCGTATAATTGTAAATCTACAAAGAAACCATGCATATATGGTTTTAATACATTTGATCCAATCAATTGATCCATACCAAGGCTACAAACAAATGAAAATGTATAATTCATGTAAGTATAAATAGATAAAAACCATAACAAATCACGTAACAATTACGTTTCTAATTCTTTTCTAGTGACAAATTTATAATTTTCGTAAATATTTTGTTGCGGATTTTCTTCCATTTCTTCCTAAACCAAAGAAAGTTACTCTTTTGTTTTTAAATATCTTTTTAAAAAAGAATCATTAAACTAAAGTTGTAATTTACCGTCAAATTATCCAAAAATGAACACCATTTTGGTGCAGGACCTAACGAAGGAATATAAAAAGCACCAATTTGTATACCTTCATTAGCAATAAAAATTAATCCGGAATCCGGTACAACACAAAAATCATTAATATCCGTATTAGGTTCTATTGAAGTAAAATTTGCTCCCTACAAATTAAATTATAATCAACCCAGAGCAAATTTCCTGAAAAATAACTTCAAAAATGACTTACATTATCCTTATCCCAAATTTTCATAATTTTGCTATCAGCACTAATAACTTTAGATTTTCCTTCATTACCGATAACATCATCATACCAAAATAATTTTTTAATAGGATAACCATATTGATGATCTTTAACCAACCAAGGTTTTGAACTTCTTAAATCATATAATAAGATATGTCCAGTAGAAGTTCCTATTGCTAAAGAAAGTCCATCATTTTTATATTCCATGGCTGTAACTTGAAATAAATTACTATTATTTTCTGAGAAAGAAGGTAATTGCGGTGCTAATAATCCAATTCGTGATCTTGATCTTGGATCCCATAATTCTACTGTACCATTTTCAGTACCAAATCCAAATAATTGATGTGCAGGATTTATTATTGTAACATTTATTCCTGTTGTCGAATCTGTTGAAAATGAATTTAAAAATCTTCCTTGATTTAAATTTAGTCTATATACTTCATGAGACGATGCTCCTATAAGTAAATCACATGATGGATAATGATATACCAAATCTCTGCCAAACTATAAAAAAAATTATTATTGCAAATTGAAAAATAAAATATAATAAAAACTCATGGATATATTACTTTGGGAATCCTAGTCTTATAATATATTCCACCATGTGTATGAAATTCAATTGTTCTATCGTTTTGTAATAATACAGACTTGGTCCAATCATCTGATAAAATCTGACATTATTATAATTATTATACCTTTTAACATGTTCGTACAAATAAACCCTCCCTCCCAAATGATGAAATTTCTATATTCTTACCACAAAGTTAACGTTCTCTGAATCCGTATGTCGATCGAATTTCATTGACATTTCGGAGTACTCATAAACTCGAATTTGTGGTTTATAAACACCTGATAAAAAAGTGCATCAAATTTAACTCCGAATTTTTTTTTTTAATTTTTTTAAAAAAAATAAAAACTACCTGTTGCCATTATGAAGCAGCCATCCCTTGTTGATTTTATTCGTAATGAAGCTTCAGGGAACTCAAAATCTTGAATTAATTCTATTCTAGATCTCCATTCTATTCAAGAAAATAAATATACCGTTTTTTATAAATTCCTCTTAAGCTTAAATCCAAGGCGCAACATGATTATACCTGGATCATTTTTTAATACTCTTTTTTTCTTTCGCTCCAGCCAATCTGGTATAGAGCGACACCCAGAACCAGAAACTGTATATATTTTAACATTATTTGGGTTCGAAACTTGAAGGACCATCTTAGGAGAGAATCAACAATAATGATAATCTTAACAATAGTGAATATTAATTTAATTCAAAAGTTTCACAACATACAGTATCAAAAAATTTCTGATCAATTTCAAATTTTTTTTTTTTTTGATAAATAAATTAATAAAATTGTAAAAATTTTGAAAGATGTCTAATAAAATAATTGATGATACCGACGAAACTATGATTGATGCTGAATATATTCCAAATAATTCAGTATCAAAAGAGCAAACAGAAGCAGCAACAGAAATGTTAGTTGAAAACGATAACGAAGAGGAGACTATTATTAAACCAAAATTTCGTCCTGCTACTATTAATGAACTAAATGTAGATATAGCCTTCATTTCCTATGCTTTCACGCTATCATAAATATTATTTTATTCTGATTGTAATTAATTTAAACCTTTTTAGAATGGTATATCACAGCTTCGTAAAATATCGGTCCCATCACATAGATTTAAACCGCTTAAGAAAGATTGGAAAAAAATTTATGAACCTCTGGTGAAACATTTAAGTTTGCAAGTTAGAATGAATACAAGATCAAATCGTGTTGAGCTAAGAGTAAGGATAATTGATTATTTTAAATTCTAATTATTCTAATTGTAAATTTATACATTAAACATTTAGAACATTTAACATAATTGATTAGACTTCTAAATACACTAAAGACTCCGGATCATTACAAAAAGCTGCTGATTTTGTCAAAGCTTTTATGATGGGATTTGATGTTGAAGTATGTATTCAATGTATAGTTACTCAAAGGTTTCCCAAATAAATCTTAATTTTTAATTTATTAGGACGCGATAGCAATTTTGCGTGTTGATGATCTTTACATAGATTCATTTGACATAAAAGATGGTAAATAATTTATAAAAACTATTTGCTCATTACTATTTAACTTTTTTTAATTTATTTATAAAATTTTTTATTACAGTAAAAAAATTAGAAGGGGATCATTTATCTCGTGCAATTGGACGTATAGCGGGTAAAAATGGCAAAGTGAAGTTTGCTATTGAAAATGCATCAAAAACAAGGATTGTATTAGCAGATTCGTAAGTTGTTTGCATGCAATACTTTAAATGCTTTGGATCGTTTTTTTTTTTTTGATAATTACTAATAATTAAATTATCAATGTCCTTTGCTATTAAATGATTAAATGAATAGATCTATTCATATTTTAGGTTCATTCCAAAATATCAAGATTGCACGTGATTCAGTAGTATCATTAATATTAGGTAGTCCACCAGGCAAAGTACACGCGAATTTAAAAATAATTAATGCAAGAATGAAGCAGAGATTCTAAAACAAGTTGAAATGTTTTGTATTTCATTTTTTATTAATTAATTTTAAGTTAAATAAATTAGGATTTCGCACTCAGGACTTAAATTTTTGAAAAAAATGTATATAGATTGTACTGTATAATGCTATATTCACAACTCTAAATTATCATAATTACAAAATTGAGAAGCTACAACCAATTTTGAACATTACATAATTAGTAAATATTCATAAATGGTTACTGACAAAAACAAAGATAAAAATTAATGATATAACAACAATATATATGAACGATTCAAATTTAATCTTCATCCAAATCTTTAAATTTCAGGTGTTCCTCATAAAAACGAATTATCTAATAAACGATAAAATCAATTGGTTAACATTTTAAGCGATAATATGATAAATGATAAATCATTACCTTTTGCGGGCACATTAAGTTAGCAACAGAAGCAGGGTGTCTTGTTCTGTGTCCACTTTTCCTTTAAATAAATTAAATAAAAAAAAAAAATACTTTACCCAAAAAAGAAAGAAGGAAAAAGAAAAGAAAGTTTTCTTTTAATAAATACCAATTTAAATAAATCCAAAGTCCACTATCCTTAGAATTTCTTTCAACAGTTTCTACATCATCAACTGCCTCTTCCCAAGTAGTGAGGCTAGGAGGAGGAAAATTTTCAAGTAAAGAAAAATCAGGTTCTTCATTGAATGAATCGCTAAATTTACGTTTTCTAATATTAACTTGATTGCTTGTTATCATAGTTTGTTTTTTTTTAACTTGTTCTATTTTCTTCATGTTTTCTTTAGAATTTCCTTTGTCGGAACTTTCTTCAGGACTTTCTACGGATTGTTTATTAGATTTTTCTATTTTCTTCCAATACTTTTCAATAAGCTCTTTAGCAAACCTAAAATAAATTTAAAAATTTTTTCTTAAACCATGTTTTAGTTAAAAAACACATTTTATGTAGAAACATACACGTCTGATTCATTTTCCCATGTATTATCATCTTCAGGATATCCTTTCCACTTAAGATAATATTGCGTGGCGCCCTTGGATGAATAAAACGAAATCATTTAAATAACTCACATTAAAAATATATATATATTATATTAAAGGAAATCACTAACTTTTATCTTTCGATGATCAATTATTTTTTCTACGACGTATTCGTCTTCCGAATCAGAATTTTCTTTCTCTTCAATATATTCTTCTTCAGAAACATCATCAATATCCATTTGTATATTACTTTTCTTACGATTCTTCCTATACACCATTATTACTAACAGAAAGAAATTATTATTGTTTTTACGCGTAAAAAAAAAAAATTTATTTTCTTTAGTATTTAAATATCGAAATGTATATCTCCTGTTTTTAATATAAAATATTAAACGAACATTCTATTTTTTATATTTTTATCCAGTTAGCAAAAAGAAAAGAAATGTTAAATCCAAAAAAAAAAAGAAATAAAAGAAAAAAAAGAACCCGTTAAATCGCCACCAAAAAAGAAACAAAACGCGTTTACTGTGGATATGTTGAGAGAAATTAGTAATATGATTGATGTTGAAGTTCCATTTTAGATAAAGGAAGAGTAACACATGTTGATAATCTTGTTTAAAAATAAGATAATCTATTTATTAATTTTTTAAAATTTAGCTTGTGAAAAATTATAGTACACATTTGTTATATAAGTAGATAATAACTAGATTCATTTTGTTAATAAATACATAATTAAGTAAAAAAAATTGAAATTGTCCGTACATTATTTAATTTCATGTAAATTATTCATTAAAAGTTATAAACTAATACATATATTATCGCATTTTAAGGATATCATATTAAATTCTTGTTCGAACATAGAATAAATTGTATGCTGCACGGGTCTAAAAAAACAAAGAAATCATATGTAAGTGCATTCGAACAAGTAATAAACAAAACGTATGATCAAATTCTTACCATAACACTAAATTCATCACATGCAGATACTCTACTATCATCAAAGTTATGCCATTCATGTCTATATCCATTTCTTACGCAAGCAGTATAATGACCACCATTTAAACCTCCGTAATGATTTGAAACAGCAAATAAATCGTATATAAAAGGTCCACATTGTTTATATTGAGAATTATAATGAATTGATGATTGTTGTTCTTTAGGGAGTGGTATATATGGTGTCAGATCAAAATCTCTAATTGGAAAATGTACCATGGTTTCCAATTTATCTCTAAATGGTCCATTAAACGAAAATCTTTTTAAATGTATCAATAAAACATCTGGTAATCTTGAAATCGTAAGTTGTTTAGTTGCACGTCTACGACATTTACATCGAGGGCAATTCCAAGCATCATCTCCATCCAATATTTCTTCTTTGACAAAAGCATTAAGACACTGGTATAAATCTATTCTTTCTCCATTATAATTATGAGGAATTGGTAATGAAAGACACATGAATACATTATAAGTCGTAGATGTCTTATTACATGTTAAACATTTTAAAATATTACGAAATTGCCCTTGGAATAAACTAACAACCACAGAAGAATTACGCATTAAATATTTTTCCCATTCCATTTCTGATACCATTTGCGAAGGCAAATATTCCCTTTCTTCCTCTTCTTGAGGAGTTAGTTCAAGAATCTTTGGTTTTTCTTTAATAATATTCAAATCTTCATGTAAACCATCCAATAAAAACGAAAGAAATTCTTGCGAATCTTGTTGTTCCGTACCAGAAAATTGTGGTGCAAACCGACCAATAGCTTCTTTGAATGTAACAGGAGAAACAAATGTATATGAATCACTCCACAATACTTTGATTAATGTAGCAAATGATTCAGCTAAGACCCCTTTAGTTCCCAAAATATTAATTCTGTTGATATGTCGTTTATAACTACCATCTAAAAAGTATCGAGCAAATGGGACTGTACCACTTAAACATTGAATAACTGAATTCATAAAACAAGTGTTTCCAAGATTTTTCAATCCTGTTGATCCAATTCCTGATCCTAATTGAGAAAAACTACTATCAGAAATTGGAGCTAGTTGCATAGTCATTTGCCCTAAGTCAGGACCAGACAAACTTGGTGTAGGATAATTATTACTAGGTGAAGGAATTGGCATATTTTGTCCATTTGTGTTAGATCCTGGAACTTGAGGTAATGGTTTACTTGGAGCAGGTATTGGTGGAGGTTGACGATTAGGTTTTGGTGGTGGTGGTGTATTGAGTGAGGCATAATCTGGATTATCTACTTTACTAAAACTATAATACGGATTATCAAATATAGTTTTACGACGTTGTAATTTACCACCAAATTTAGCTGAATTAGTGATACTGCCGGAATTAACTTTTGATTCACTCGGAATTGTATGTGAAAGAGAAGATTTTGGTGACGATGATAACATAGGAATTGGTTGATAATTATTATAATTATTATAATCTTGTAAAATATTTGAATGGTCGTAATTAGCATTAGTCATAGACTGAATTTCAGGAGCTTGTTGAAACTGTAATAGAAAAGTATAATATATATAAACATCAAATAAATAATAACAATAACAATAATAATAATAATAATAATAATAATAATAATAATATATTATTATATATCAAGATACTCACATATTCAAACATGGTTCTCACATATGGTGCTCTACCGGGGCTAATAGGTTCATTATTTTGTATTTTACTATAAATATGGTTTATTTTGTAAGGATGATGAGGCCTTTTGTTTAAAATACGCGATATATATATATATATTGTGTATATAAGTGAAAAGGAAGTTCAATCATAAATTTTGATGTGTCAAATGTTAACTCATACCTTTCATTATTAAAGTTTTCTGCCCAAGAAGTAGGATTATTATCTGAAATAACTACCCCATTTCTTTTTGATTTGTCACTGTTGGTGTTAGATTTTTCAATCCATTTGTCCGAGGCAAACCGTCTCCAAGCTGCAAAACCTCCATTCAGTAAAACAGGTGGCCTTTTTAAATTTTTTTTATAATCATTTACGTAAATCGCATTCTTCAAATGTAACAAAAGGTCATTGCATCCATTAGACACTGAAGGCGATGAAAATTTGTTTGACGAAGTATTATAGGTTGAATCTTGATCGTAATATACAACCAAATCAAATTTATCCCTATTCTTGAATAGATCTCGTTCTTGCGCTGGTGAAAGTATTAATTTGTTTTCGAGATCTATGGTAGAAATTCTTAAAAAGTATGTATATTCATATTTATTTAAGAGCAGATAAAAATTAAAATAAACCAACAAAAATTAAATTTGTTAAACCTACTAACCCTTCCGGTAAAACGATTGGTTCCAGACAAACAATATTATCCGTTTTAATATGTCCAGCATCAAAATCACTTCTTAATCTAACATCCAAAATCAATATCTTTGGAATTGGTGGATCAGTTTGATTAAAAAGCTTATACAAATCTCCAGCACTTATCAAATTTGAAAACTTATAATTGGCAAGAGGATCAATTTGTTGCAAATTAGATCCAACTGACGATGATGTATTAAATGAAGATAATGATTTATTCTCTGTTGAACTATTATCACTAACTGATGGAGGAGGAGTGGGGATTGGGATAGGCATAGATAATTTTGTCGGTTGAAATTGAGTATCCTCAGCTAAAGAATTGTTATCATTTTTATGCATATCGGCATTTAAACCATTGTTTCGTAAACTTGCTACTCTTTCAGCTATAGATGGATTCATTGGAAACATTGAACTATCTGATGATATGCTACCAATCATATTATCTGATACTATGTAAACAGGTGAACGAGGAAGGCCGGATTGTAAAGAAGGATCAATATTCTTGTTAAATTCTTCTCGTTTTTCTAATGTTTTAGCCGCCTTTTCTGCCCTCTCTATAGCATGTGGAAGTTTCTAAAAAAAACAAAAAAAGAAAAGAAAAAAATAAATCATTTTCAAATTAACGGTTCTATTAATAAACAATATATTACATAACTTACATTTTTCAAATTGGAAAAATCATTTTTTAAATTAGTGAATTCTATCGAACTTTTCGAATTCATACTTTCAAAATCTCTGTGTTTAGGTACTATCTCTAGTAGGATACTTTGAATGAAAAATGAATTAAGGGCAAAAGGCTTAAATAAAAAAGAGAGAGAAAAAAAGAATCAACTAAGAATTGTATTAAAAAAAAAATATGGTAACCTACATTGAAGCTTTAATATTATTTATATATACAGATTCGTCAGACTCGTAATCATTGCCCGCTTCGAACAATTTGTTAGTTACGGCTAACCATTGCTTTATACTGAAGCCATTAGGTTCATAAGCAATACTAGCTTCCTTTTTAAGCTGAGCAAAGGATTTATGAGTTATATTTGACATTATCACAAGGAAGAAACTCACGAAAGGGAAATAGGTAAGAATATAATATTTTTTATACGGATTTGATGTACTGCGTTCCTTTCCAAATTTGGGAATTTTCGCCCGAAATATAAACTTGCAGTACTAAGTCATAGCAGTTTTGGTGAGAGTGATATATTTGGGAAAGCAACTATAAATAAACGTAATGTTGCATTTTATAATAATAATAATAATAAATAGTAATTATGTATTTATTAAAAAAAGTAATCCTTTCGGTCCTTAAATTTTGACATATTCATTCATTTTTTTTTTTACAATTTATAAACGTTTTATAAAGTAAAAAATGGGTCAAAAAGAAGATAGTCGTGGAATGGTTATATTCTCAGTATCATTTTATATTGTAACTGCATTGATAATGGTATTTGTGAATAAGGTAATAAATATATGAAAATATCAATTATTATAAAAAAAAGACAATTAACTATAACATTATATCATTTCAATGAATAGTGGGTATTGAATAGCGTCTCCTTGCCTTTTACATTACTTTGGTTTCAAGTTATTGTGGCAGTGATTCTATTACATCTTACTAATTTCTTTGGTAAATTACAATTACCAGTAATTGAAAAACAAAAATGTATAGAATTATTACCATTAATATCAATAAATATATTAGGACTCAGTTTTAATACAATATGTTTACAATATGTGGATGCAAGTTTTTATCAAGTTGCAAGGGCATTAATACTTCCATTTACAGTGATTTTCTCATATATACTTTTAAATCAAAATTCATCAAATAAAATTTTATTAGCATGTTTAATAGTATGTATAGGATTTTTTGTGGGAGTATCATCAGAAAGATTAACTATTTCTATAATTGGTATAATTTTCGGTATATGTTCGTCGATATCAACAGCATTACATGCTATTGTCATTAAAAAGAGTTTAAATGTGGTAAAAGGAAATACGATGGATTTGGTTTATTACAACAATTTCATGAGCGCTATAGCATTTTTACCATTAATATTTTTATTCAGTGAACAAAATCAATTATTGAAATTATTTATAAAAAATCCTATTACAAACCAGTATAGTATGGAAGCAAAAACGTTTCTTATTGGTATATTAGTTACGGGATTTTTTGGTTTTTTAATTAACATAGCTGGGTTTTTACAAATTAAAGTTACATCACCTATAACTCATATGATTTCTTCTGCATTCCGCGGAGTGGTTCAAACAATACTTGGATATTTACTTTTCGGTGATTTATTAACTACCGGTCGTGTTGGTGGAATTTTCTTAATTTTATTTGGTAGTTGTATCTATGCTTGGTTCAAAGATCAAGAATCGAAACAAGTTCAAAATATTTCAAATATTGACAAGAAAGTTTATGACAAATTGGAACGTGGTGATTCTCTAGACGATGATTGTGATAGAATTGAAATTGTTGAAGAAAATGAGAAATAGATAACTTATAGATGTAATCATTATATATATGTATACCGTATATTACAATGCCTGTACGATATATATTTTATAGTTAAAATATATTTTAATTCATAATTTTTTTTACAACTATAATAATCCCAACCCTGCGTATATACTTTAAATCTCTTTTTGATTTTAATATTACAATAAGTATTAATAAATATATCATTCATTATCTAATTCATTTTCTATTACTTGTTTAACTAAAGAGGGTTCGGCTCCTTCAACAAATACAACTTTTCTTTCTCTTTCCAATAATCCAATAAATTCTTTTGGTAAAATGTTTTCAAATTTAAATTCTTTAAAATTTTCTAACGCTTTTTCTACTGCTTGAGAAAATTTTGCGGGATGTGCTGTTGCTAAACATATTTGATATGTATTCCTATGTAAAAGACCACTTAACTTAGAACAAATTTTAGATATATGTAAATAAAAGAGAATAATTATTTATACTCACGGCGAAATATTCTGTCTGTCTGCGGCTGCAACGCCAACTGCTGTGTGTGGATCAAGAATGTAAGAAATTTGATTTTCATTTTCAGGTGCATAATACTTCTTTATGGTATCCAATGTCTAATCAAAAAAAAAAACCATTTTGATTAATGAGATAGTTACATTAATTCAAATCTATTAATATATAAATAAATATAATAATAAATACTTCTTGATCGGAAACTCTTTCGCTTATAAAATCACGAAGTGAAATATCTAATACGGATTTTTCGACAACTAAACTTTTATTAACTTTAACATTTTGCATCCATTCTCTAATAATACTACTAGTTTCCTTAACTTTTTCTTCCTCATTTCTTTCCTCCTCCTCTTTTTTACCAATATTTTCATACACTAAATACCATAACAATCTTTCAAAATTACTTGAAATAGCAATATCCATAGCGGGACTAAGAGTTTCTATAACAGTTACACCGTTTCCTCCTTTTGATCTTTCGTATCTACCATTCTTAAAAAATCTATCTAGTATATCATTAGAATTGGTTGATACTACTAATTTACTTATAGGTAATCCCATCTTTTTAGCATAATATCCCGCTAATATATCACCAAAATTTCCTGTTGGTACACAATATTGAAGATAAATTTCTTTTGATTCTTTCGATTCGATCGTAATATTCAATGATGAAAGTAATTGAAAATATGAATAAAAATAATATACTATTTGTGCTAATATTCTTGCCCAATTTATTGAGTTAATGGCCCCTAAATGATATTTTTCATTAAACGACCTATCTGCGAATAAATTCTTAACTATATCCTATTATTAAAATTCTTATGTTAATAATATTTATTACATTTAAAATATTTACTAACTAAATTGCGCTCACCTGACAATCATCAAACGTTCCTTCAACTGCTAAATTATGAATATTTTTATCTAATACTGTTGTCATTTGAGCTTCTTGAACTGGTGATACTTTACCACGCGGATGAAGTATGAATACAGAAATATTTTTTTTCCCTCTTAATCCATAAATGGCTGCACTACCGGTATCTCCACTAGTAGCTCCCAAAACAGTAATATTTTCTTCCTCTTTTTTTTCTTTATTCTTTTTTTCTAATAAATATTCAAATAAATTACCAAGAAATTGTAACGCAACATCTTTAAAAGCAAATGTAGGTCCATGAAACAATTCTAATATATAAAGATTTTCTCGGATTTGCTTTAATGGTGTAATATCATTAAAAGTAAATGTTGAATATGATTTATCTATCAATTGTTTTAATTCTTCACGTGAAATTTCTTCTCTTGGAATATATAATGAAAATATTTCAAGTGCTAACGATTTATATGTTAAATCTGACCAAGCTTTACTCCAATTCTCTGGTAAACTTGGCATATTTTCAGGAATAAATAATCCTCCATCTTCTGCTAATCCTACTAATACTGCTTCAGAAAACGAAAGAAGTTTTGGTGAGCCTCTAGTTGATCGATATTTCATCTTTGACTTGGAAAAAAAAAAATCTGATTACGATAAAAGAATTAGCTGATCAAGAATTGGATTAACCAAATTCGAAGTTACCCAGCATCAAACCATGAATTTCTTATCTATTGACATCCATGATCTCCGATCTTCTATCTCGTCTTATCTTTTTTGATCAACAAACCTAAAATTGCGCACAGTATAAATAGTCACCAAGTTTTAGCTTTTTCTATTTAATTTTTTTTTTACAATGTCATTGACTCAAAAACCGGAAACTCTAAAACAGTCAAATTTATCTGACCTGTCAATCCCCTTTTCTGTTTTACCTAGTCCTTTCCAGACAGTTTTAGTGATTAATGCCACACAACACCAACATGCTATTCAAAAGGTCGCTGAAATTGATCAAGAAGTAAGAAATGCTGGTGGTACGTATAGAAATCTTATACTTCGTATTTTTTTAATTCAAATTTATTTATCATATAATGTTTACGTATATTTTTTCTTGAATAGTTAATCTAACATTGATTGCAGAGGTGACAAAAGAAGAAAAAATTGAATATTCAAACCTTATGGCAGATTTGATTCCATTGTACGCCAAAATCAATAGATTGATCCCACTACATTATATTATTTCCAAGAATAGTGATGCAGCAACACGGAATCTTATAGCTATGGTAATCAATAGTTTTTTATTTATAACCTCCTAATCGTAAGATTACATCACTATTTGATTACACGTCTATCTTATTTTTTTTTTCCTTTGATAATAGAAATATCTCATTCAACAACAATTCATAGCATTGCCTGACGAACATTATTTCTTAACGGTTGATGAATTACAGAAACATAAAAATTTACTTCAAGAACTTGAAAAATATGAACATGCATTGGAAAAACTTCAAAATTCTGGAGGATATGCTGCATGCAGCATTCAATTTCTTTCAAAGCAGGAAGGATCTTTATCTCATAACAATTTATCAGAAGAAGTATCCGATATTGAACATTCTCTTCCTCCATTGAAATCTGGTACTGGTGCTCTAGCAAAATTTTTAACATTAGTTGAGAACGATTCTTTAGATGATCTTTCAAACCGTGTAGGAGATTTATTAACACCGACAATGAACAATATTCGACAAATTGGTAATTTAAACAGAAATCAAACAAAAAATCATCTATCTCCAAATACGAACAATGAAATTGACAAATGGAAAGAGGAATTTGCTGTTGATAATTAACTGAAAATAATTACCAATCTAATCGCGATTTTGTTACACCAAAAAATGAATTTGACAAACAACGCGATAGAAAATTAATGACCTATGCTAGTGATTCATCAGGGTCTCTTGGTAGTTATGGAAGGCAATATTAATTATTTTATAATAATTATTAATAATTATTTGTTGATTTTTATTTACTTGGAGAAATTTATTTTTAAATAATTTATTATTGTAGGAATTTCATAATCAACCTGCAAAAAAATACCAATTTTACTATACAAAAAATTTGGAATTATTTTTAAGTAATGACATTAGTATTTTGTATAAATTATCAAGATAAAGAAATATTTAATCGCATTAACAGTTAAAGTGAAAATGTTTTAATCGTTTAAGGAACTTTTAAAAGGGGCCGAGTAAGTACCATCATCAATAGTATATAAAAAGGAAAATGATCTAGGTAAGATTAAGAATCAATTACTCACGTTACGGTGATTTAATTTTTTTTAAAAAAAAAAATTTGGAGTTCAATCAGGTCACAAATGTATGATGAATTTTTGTGCTCATGAAAGAGGAAGAATTATCACATTTACTACATTCACAAATGTGACAGAAAAGGGTATGGCATATTCATTCAAATGCATTTACATTTTTTTAAAAATTGCTATAATTTTTATTACCACATAATGCTGTGTTACCCAGTCATTCAAAAAAAAAAGTTGAGGTAGTAATAGTACCCTGGAGTACTATGAAAAGATAATCTGATATGGCCAATAAATTATACATAACCTTCAAACTCTTATAAATTATAAATTACTAAATAAAAATAATATTTTAACATTTAAATTTTGTATTATTGCTTTCTAACTAATGTTAGTTACACGTAAATACTATCAGGTGTAGAATGGTAAGAATGTGTTTTAGGGTAAATTCCATCTAAAGATAAAGTAAAATAAAATTGTCACACTAAACATATCCTAAGAGCAAGCTCTTAATTACTTACCAATCGAATTACTTACGATTGTTACATTTATCATGTTTAATTTTATAATAAAAAATACAGTTTTTGTCATAAGATGATTATCATGATGAATCACCTTTAATAAAGATGGAAAATGGTCTTTTGGTCTTTTTTAGTCTTTGAAAATTTTTCAGAAAAGTAACAAGACTACACACTCAATTTTTTGTAATATAGCAGAATTGGCTAAAGACCAAAAAGTGGCAAAATTTGGCTTTTAGACCAGCAGAGATTAAATTAGCTTAAAGACTGTAGTCTTAGAACTTTTGTTATAAAAACCTATAAAACCCTATTTAATTCTAAATTGGATGATTGAATTAAACCCAAATTTTGCTACATTTTGGTTTTTAATTAATTCTGTAACATAATAAAAATTTGGATGTGTAGTTTTATTACTTTTCAAAAAACTTTTAAAAACTGTCAGGACTGGGTAAATCTAAAAAAAGACCATTTACCATTCTTAACCTTTGATCTTAAGGTGACAGGTCAGTCTTTTCCTTTGGGAGGGACAGTATATTAATAATGTTTAAATTAGTTTGGAATACTTTATTTTATTTTACTTTTGTAAATATATTGTATTACTTTAACATTATTATGATCAAAAACATGATTGCACCTTTACAAAAAAGAAAAAAAAAAAAAAATTATTGTGTAAAATAAATTTTTTTTTAATAACTATTAAATGTGTTTATTAAAAAATTTCACCCCAAAGTGCAATGGAAAAAAAATAAATTTATATTAGATTTTTCAATATGTTATTAATTTATTGGTCTTTTTTTAGTACAACTAACCACTAATTAACCCTTTTATAGTTACTTTTCATATAGTTACTTCTCTTTTTCATCATGTCATTGTTTAATTACAATTGGTTTTATAAAAAACTACCTTTTCATGAGTTATAATATATACAAAAATATTAGACTTTCTTAATACATAAACATGTATTATGTAACTATAACAAAAAAAATTGAATATGTATAACTTTTAAAAAAATGTATTTTTGCCTATTTTGCAAGTTTGCCTAAAGTATCAAAAATGATTTTAAATGCCATTTTTGATTTATTTGCAATTAGTATAAAATTTACCTTTTATATATACTAGATATATATAAATATATTATAATAGTAATTTCTTTTATTATATAAGTATATAGATTTATTATATAAGTATATAGATTTATTATTTTACTTTATTACTTTTCTAATATTTGAAAGAATTTTAGTCAGTTTTTTTAATCTTATATATATATATATAAGTTGATAGTAATATATATCTTTATTATTATAACTATTATTTTTTTTACCATGCATTTATATTTTGTAATTTGTTTATTAAAAATAAAGACAATTATAATTATATACCAAATAACTATTTAACTATTTATAAGTAAATAAATAAACTATTTGTCATTTATTTTAGACCTATTTGTATATTATTACTTATCCATTCTAGCTGTACAAATAGGCTATATATAAAATAGTATAGACTAGTTTTCTTCTCATATGATTTAATCCAAATAATATCACTTATGTAAAATTAAATTATATAAACCTGGTATATATATATATTACATTACTCATAAAAAAAATAATAGCCAGATTTAAATTAATTAGGGTTAAGGTAGGATTCTGCTTACTTATAAGATAAGTTACTAAAAACCTAAGGTAAAATTTATAATTGAGAATTTTTAAAAATCCTACTATATATAGATAAATTACACCTAAAAAAGGAAATATTACACTAAGTTATTATGATTTTTTTCCTTTTTAGATCAATTAACCAATAGGATCACTGGTAAAATTACTAGTAAATTTAAAATTTTTTCTGAAAACCTCTATTATGAGTAAACAGGATCCTATTAGAGTTAAAGATTTAGAGTTAAAGATTTAGAGATTTAGAGTTAGAAGATTAGAATTAGAGTTAGAATTAGGATTATGGTTAGAGGATTAGGATTAGAGTAAGATTTAGGTTCACTGAAGTTGTTAAATTTGATGATGTTATTTTAAAAAGTGAAATTTACAATTATAAAAGTTATAAATTTTAATTTTTAGTATAGGTAACATCACCTAATACTAAGTGACATCTTCTAAAAAGAAAGTTAGCTAAATTCTATAAAATAAATCATTTTAACAAATATTTTATAATTTAGATCTAATAAACAAATATCTTATTAACAGAATTTCAAAAATACATACAGTTTATTCTTCCTATAGCAAATTTAATATAATGAATCATGTGACGCTTAACCAATAAATATATTAATTTTCCCTCACTATAATGAAATAACTAATCAAATTTTTCAAATTCTTTGTTAACATACTATAATAAATTTGAAATACAGAACGATTTCTTAACTATATTAAGAGTAGATTGTATATAGATCATAAAGGATTCATATAAAAATAAGGGTATTTTACTACCTTTAAAAATGCTATTATTTGTTAAAAATCCAATAATAATATATATACAGTAGATATCAAAACAAACATACCAAAATTTATAAATTATTAAATCACATGTTTTTTAATCATATATTATAGATCAACATTATATTTATTAAAGGTAATTACTTCGAATAACAGGTGGTTAAGATCACCAGTGTCATGTAAAATTGAATATCATTGATTTATTGTTGTAATAAATAAATAAAAAACGTGATAATTATTATTTAACGTGATATGTAACTTATTGTTTACCCTTTCGGCTTATTGTTTATCCATTTATCCTCTTACTCTCTCAATATCCTTTTACTCTCTTACTACTCTCTTGATATCCGTTTACTCTCTCACTACTCTCTCAATATCCTTTTGCTCTTTCACCTTAGATACTTCCTACGCATAACTTTCTCATTATAATTTTACTATCAGATATAAATATGGATAAAAAAAATCACAACGAAACATATATATCAAATGTTATAAATAACTAACAACAACTAGTTGAAAATAATTATTCTCTTTCAATAGAAGGTATAGTAGCAACTGAACCTAATATTGATATTAAAGTTGGTGATTCTTTTGCTACATGGAAAAATGCAGAAATTAAACTGAATCAATATGCAAAATTTTCTGGTTATTCTTTGCGAAGAAAACGTGTTAAACTTGATAAAGATGGATATGTATGACGTCAAACATTTGAATGCACTTTTTCTGGTAAACCCATTTCTAATCAAGTTATTAATATAACTCATCAAAAACAACATTCAGCGCAAAAGATTATGTATTCATGGCATATTAAACTTACAAAACCTAAACCATCTATAGAAGTAGAAATTACAAGTATTATTGGTCAGTACAACCATAATATGATACCTAAAGTTGCCTGCCGAAATTAAAGATTTTCAGCATGTCAAAATTGCTGAAACTATTTTGACATTTTGACATTGGCTCTCTGATTTGTCGGTTTTGACATGTCGAAATTGTCAAAACCTAAAAATATTACATTTCACGTAATAACTTGGCATCCAATGATTGTAGAATGATACACCATAGCTCGTTAGAATTGTCTCATAATGGTGA